CTTCTGTTCTTCTCTACTGTTCGCTCGGGTAAGACAAGGACTCCACCTACTGGCCAATAATATCCTAACACATGCCCACATTTATAAACAGTGTATCTACTGCTTTTTTCTGAGCATAATAAAGCATAATAAAACACAAGTTAAATGTTAAATGTCTCACTTTCTTTCTTCCCTCCCAGGGTTTTCAGCTGCAACGTCCATGTTCACATTCATAGTTTTGATCATCACAATCATTATCTGCCTCTCTCACGTCTGCTTTGGACACTTTAAATATCTCAGTGCTCACAACTACAAGGTAACAGATAGTCACCCTTGTTTGCATGTTATGCATGTTTCCTCAATTCATCAGTACTTCAGACCAGCATTATATTCAGCTGCTTATACTAAATGAATGTTCTCTGTCTTAGATTGACACCCATGTGGACGGGATGGAGAATGGGCGTCCAGTATGCAGCACTGCTGCCAGCAAGGCAGCAGTATGTATTCTGTCATATTTATTCTATAAGCATATGAGCCTCAAGATTAAACAGTGGAAAGAGATGTCCACAGAATGAAGCTTATCCTGAAACACAAAATAGGTATCAGACTTTGACTTTGTATTTCATTTTCTCCCCTACAGCAAATGTACATTGCTCAGGTACTTCAAGACCCAAATTCAGAGGAGGCTGGTTCAGGCAGCGGTGAGGATGACGGCCAAGGGTCCTCGCAGGACGAGGATATAATCAATGTCGAAAATGGCCTGAATGAGGACTTCCAGTCCGGTGAGGACAGCCTCATTGATAATGAAGTGCGGCACTGACAGTGCCTGGAACAGAAAAAAAAAATTCCCTAAGTTTAACTTGAGGAGCGCACTGAATATGTGAATTAAACTAGGAACTGAACCAACAGTTCTCCAAAGCATCTCAACCTCCATCGAGGGACCTAACACTAACATAAGCACACTGTCTACTAAGGATTAAATGGATTGTTGCTCCAGGACTCTCGCATTTCCGTCACTGGGTCTCAACAAAACACATCGTCTGTCTGTGTACCTGCAGAGGGAATCTACTTTAACAATGCAAGGGCAGTGACACCCTTCTGCCCCGAGATAACAGAGGCACACCCCAAAACACTGCACATGGACTCATGAAAGAAAGACACTAAATGCACAAATGAAGAATAGTTTGCCTTGTTTTCTAAGGGGAGCGATGTTCTGTCTGTATTTCCTTAACATTGTTGCACTTGAAAGAGAGGACCTGTGCTATAAGCTCGAGTTTCATTAAGGTACTGTAGTTCAGCATGCCTTCAAGTTCAAAGGGTGGAGGGATTTTCCCATAATCCTTTGCCAGTATCTCTAATTGACTGCACTAAACGCTTCCCCCAAATAAGCAGCTGGTGCAAGAGAACAAGAGAGGAGTTTTCCACCTCACCAGACAGCTCGGTCTGTGTAGATGTGATGGTCTCTAAATGGTTCTTCCAATCCCATGAAAGCCTTTTAAAAAAAAAATCAAAGAAGAAAAAAATAATTCCTACTAACACTCCTGGACGCTTCGACACTGTACAGCTACAAAACTCTGGATTTGTAGAATAGGCTTTTTTGACATGGTATTTATTTGTAGGCATTGAATTTTTAATGCTATCAAGCTTGATACATCCCTAAACTGTGGAAGAGGATAATTCATATCTCGTCACACTACATTTATCATGATCTTCTTTGGCGTTGAGTCTCTGAGCCTTTGTTGGGACTGCCGTTGGACTGCTGCTACTGATGCTTCCTCCAGTAGGGGGAAATCCTTGCACAGCTGCTGCAGGAGGACTGGAGGCCTGGAGCCTGCTGATCCTTTTGTGTTGCTTGTAGGATGGAGAGAAAGGCCTTTTGCGGTTTGTCGCGGTCAGCTTCAAATGGTACTCCTTGTGACTGGTTCTCTCTATCTTTTTGTTTGTATCTTTTTGTCCATATGTTTACGTCTTTATGTAGAAATTTTCAAATTAGCATTCAGTGTAGGTGGCTACTGATAGTTTGACAAATAAGCTATTCTGTATGTAATCACTCAGTCTTCTGCCAGGTCCTCCTTCATCGTCTAGGTAGCATATTGTTCCAGTGGTCATTGAGCATTGTTACAGTTTCCCATTTCGCAACTACTCAGTGCTGAGTTGTAGATAGTTTAAAACCAATTGTGCAATTTAGGTGATAACATATCAGATCTTAGGCTAGGCCACTTGAGAAAGTTACAACAGTGGATGAGGTCCACATCCATTTAAAGTCACTCATTTTCAAACCTCAACTTTATACTGTTAAATACTACTATGCTACCCTACCCCAACCCATTGAATGCAAAATGGAAGATAATTCACGATGTTGCTCCTTGAGTTGTTATGAACCAAGTTTCCCCTCATAGTTTGACAGTCCAGATTTGCAGATCCAGTGACCAGTTTTGTCAGGCCGCAACCAGAGCAATAGTAATGTACTACAACTCAACACTTGCTCCCGAAACATGCCATTTTAAAATTGTTTCCTATCATACGAAGCAGCTTTTTTTTTTTTTTTCAGTTATCACAAAGACAAAAATACATACTTGACTACAAGTCACAAATAAGAATGTAAAACACAATGTCCACACAGTTATAACTTTACTCAGGATTTAACAAGCGTCTTGTTTCTGTCCACTCCTTTCTTCCTTAGTCGAGACAACACTATGAGCTGCCCCGTTAAACACAAAGACGATTGTCGGTAAAGAAAGGCAAAGCACTGCAGTCTGTCACTATGGACCAATTATTGTTATTTGGAATATCATGATATGAAACATTTATTATTCAGCTGCTCAGAGAGCCATTGTGGGAAGTGTGCACTAATCTTACTTTCACTTATATGATTGACAGAGAAGGGCACGATAACGACATGGGTGACGACAATGGTGAACCTAAACTGTTTCCATAATTTGTCCATGGATATGTTGGCCCCACATATGGTGATGTTATTATGGTACTAACAAGAGTTGTTTGACATCGTTGAGTCAGGTGCTCTTCTAGTCATGATAAGGTGATTTTATTTTTTTTATACCTCTTCATTTTTATACCTCTGAGATGTCTTGAAATCTCTGAATGTGTCCTGTCAAAGTAACATACTGTCCAGCTCTGAGGCAGATACTTAAATGTCTCGTCTTGTCTAACAACTCCAGTGTTTAAACGCTGAATGTAGGTTTGTTCCACAACTTTTGGTAAGTTGAAAGTAGCTAAAGTAACAGTGTGATCGCTGTATTTACACAGCTTCAAAAGGACGGTTCACTCACTAATCAGAAATGATACGTTTTATACTACAACAATGTCCGCTCCCATGTCGTAGCGTTTCATTTGAGCATAGATCTACGTTTGTCAGTCTGATGGTTACAATGATTTCCTGTAGCCTTTTTTTTCTAATTCCAAGTCTAGTACCCTCGTGATGAATCCTTTTATTTTAGATTATCTTCATAAGATCTGTACACACAGTGGGACTCAATGAAAATGAATGGATTGTTGTTGTTTTTTTTGTAAAGAGCCAAGCACTTTCTAATAGAAGTTCTCAGCTTGTTTGCTCAATGTTCTCAGAATGGTTAGTAAAATGTCTCTGCGTCTCAAAACTGTGCACAACTAGAATGTGTCTTTGTGTGCTTTGCCTTTTATAGTTTTACATTTTTCTAGCTAGCAAGAGTAACAATAACCAATCTCAGCATTTGACCGTCTCATTTTCTTATTCTTTCCAAAGGGCCGTCTGTTCAACAGATATATACTGTATATATCTGTACTTCCCCCTCTTTGAACAATAAATCTGTATTTAATAAAGTCTATCAATAATACTGTGTTTTGTAAGTATCTAAAATGGCTCACTTTGGCTTGTGACTCCTTAAAGCAATACACTAAATACTAATTACGAAGATACTGTTTTGGTGGTTTACAAAACAAAACATCTTATTTAACTATTTTACACTAACAGGAAGTGATGCAATACATGCACCGTCAACATTTGATTGACATCAAACTGACTCCCAAGTGTCACTGAATAAAATCTGAAACAGAATTTTTTTTTTGTTTTCCTGTCACCCACATTTTTTTCAACTGTTGCTTTTGAACTGTACTGTGGAAGAATAGTGTCCATAAAGGGCACACTCAAAAATCACTCATATATGGTATGTATGTATGCTGTCTATTTGTTTATTTGGTCACTTCCTGTTTGAACGTGCTTAGTCACTAGCCTGTGTTTCCCTCTTGCTACTAGCTGCTCGCTAATTCCTGCTATCAGCTGTTTCCTATTTATCCACCACCAGTGGCTTGCACGTGCGGCGTCATCAACAGTTCCTTCCACAAGTCTTCAACAGCCCCTCCCGTTGCAGAAGGCCGCCTCAGTCTTTTTAAACTAAAAGGGTTCTGCCACTATGACTACCCTACGCGGCGGAAAATTGGGCACCTCGGATCAACTTGTCAATCCGGCTCTGTGTGTCTAAACGCTCGCAGCTTGCTGGCAAAACAGCCCAACATTCGCGGAAAATCTGGCAGTGTAAAAGCGGCAATAGTATGTTGTATGATTTATTTTTTGGTCATGCCTACTGATTTTGAGCACTTTTTCATTATTAGAGGCCTGAAGAAGTAAAATTATCCAATACTTCACCAGAAAGGTAACATTTTTATGTTCCTTTCTTACATTTTCTAGTTCATGTCCTGTTAACCATCTTTCGACCCCTCCGATGTACCTTGCGACCTCTTCTGGTCCCCGACCCAGATGTTGGGAAACATTGGTTTAATCTAAATAGCAGGTTGGATGCGTGAAACATCTCATCAGGAAAGGCATATGTGTAGTTAAAGCCATATTTAGTTTTTCGGCGGGGGGGGGGGGGGGGGGGGGGGGGGGGGGGGGGGGGGGGGGGGGGGGGGGGGGGGGGGGGGGGGGGGGGGGGGGGAAGAATGGAGGTAGACGATTGGAGGACCAGAGGCTGGTGGGGGCGGAGGGTGCAGTTTTCAGTGACCGACACTGGGTGCTGCTGGAGAGGGAGGTGCTGCTGTGGTGCAGAGGGAGACCGAGGTGCGACGTGGAAAGGCAGAATGACACTTATGGCTTTATATAATGCAACAACTGAAGTCCAGCGACATCATGGGAACAGACTGTCAGCTTCCGGAATGATCTAACGCTAAAATGTAGCATATCGGTGAACTGAGTCTGTACATGTGGGAAGAAAAGTCGTCATGGACGGAGGGCTGACTATCACTTTTATATCGGTTGCGATGTTTGTAGGTTGTTTTCTACTTGGATTCATCCCACTGTTGTTCAGACTCTCTGAGGTAAGTGTTTACTACTGTTTATTTAAACGCCATCGTGAAGTGACGTCAGATTACAGTCACGACCCTGCAAAGATTGACCCAAACTTTAGATTAATGTGCAGTGATTGTATCTATGTGTGCCCCCATAGAGTGGACCGCATTATAATCATTTGCACGTTTATACAATGTTGTTTTATGGCTTCTTTTGAATATCAAGTGTTCACATATATGTTTTAGACGTGGTTCCTTTCAAATAGATTTTTAAATTTAAAAAATATAACTAATTATTATAGTTGTGGACATCTGAGAAATAGCTCCAGCTGTTTTGTGTCTGTGGGAAAGCATGTGTCTGATCAGCTGAAATCACATGGATCCACAGAAAAGCCTGCAGTTTGTCTCCATCCTGGGAGCAGGACTCCTGTGTGGGACAGCGCTGGCTATCACCATCCCTGAGGGAGTGGGCTTACTGGAGGAGTCATGGAGAGGTGAGCCAGGCATACACACATTAAACCTACAGGACACCCCCCTCTTTAACCCTTCTTCCTTGGTTGTCTTGCCAACCGATCACACATAATCCACGCCATCCACACCTGTGCTTGATTGTGTGGGGATGAAAGCAGTGAATGTATGCTCCTCTGCCTCGTTTTGTTTTATGTGGATTTGATCAAAAGCTCCTCCTGTCCTTCATCTTCTCTCCGCAGCACCCTCTTCCTCTGATGTGCCATCCATGCTGAATAACAGTGGAAAAAATAAAAACACAACCTCCACAGAGAGAGGCCCTCCACCTCGGTTCATCATCGGGGTGGCTTTAACTCTGGGGTTCACCTTCATGTTTGTGGTGGATCAGATCGGAAGTTACCTCTCCATGCATGGCAAGTTGGCAGAACTTTCACACCAGCTTCATTTAGCAGAATGTCAACTCTACTATATCTTCCGATTAATCACCACGACACGTGCAATGTCTCATTTCAGACCAAAGGACTCATTTGCCTAACAGAGTCGGCATCACAGCCACTTTGGGACTGGTTATTCACGCTGCAGGTACAAATACAACATTACAATTACAAAACTGTTTCTGTTGGCTGGTGTTTGTCCAAGGTAAACAAAGATGTTTCAAGAAAATCCGGGCCACAGAGCACTGGAGTTTCCTCATGTGACTCAGCATGTGATTTGTTTTCACTGGTTGGGTCTTTTAAATGACCTCATTTTTCTGAGTCTATAGCACAGCCTGGGGACGTAAGCTTCAACATTTTTGTCTCACATGGGCAATCTGGGATGCAGCATGGCAAAAACATACATATAAAACCAGACATATGCATCTGTGTTATGTAATTTTTGTCTAGATTATTGTGACCATTGACAAGATTTTTGTTTGCATATAGCGGATGGATTCGCTGTTGGTGCAGCTGTGGCCACGGGTCAAGTGACAGTGCAAGTTATAGTATTTTTAGCTGTGATTCTACACAAGGTGAGTAATTCGGCTCCTGCTTAAAACCTCCTGAATAGTAAATACTGAAGGAATTCTAACCAGGATGAGTTTCACCTGCAATCCTCTCTGCTAGATGCCACTAAATCTGCCGATATCTTACACACTGTTCCTTTAAGTCTATACAGTAGTATTGATTACAGGCAGGATGTAATGAAATGATGTGAAGACCTGACCATCTGTCTTATCTCCTAGGCACCTGCAGCTTTCGGTTTGGTCTCCTTTCTGTTGCATGCAGGCCTTGAAAAGAAACACATTCAGGGACATTTACTGGCCTTCTCAGCTGCAGCACCAATACTTGCCATCACCACATACTTCATAATCAATGCGGTAAGAAACCACACGTCAGCTATCCTGTGTCTGAATATAATGTTTCAGTTGGTAGTTTGGTATTATTTGATTTGGTGTGCTTGTGTCCACAGTCCGGTAGCTCGTCTCAGAACCAGCTCAGTGCGACAGGTGTGGGAATGCTGTTCTCGGCTGGGACTTTCCTCTATGTCGCCACAGTGCATGTTCTCCCCGAGATCAGCAGCAGCAGGGCGAGCCAGCACACCTCTGATTTCCAGCACCACAGTGGAGCTGAGGCTCACCATCAGCGATACCTGGGGCTTCTGGAAAGCCTCACTCTGATCCTGGGGGTTGGGCTCCCGATGGTGCTGGCCCTCGGGCTGAGTGATGACTGAGAAAGAAACGTCAGGGTAATAAAATGTAGAGCGAAGGGCACCACGCCTGGAAGGAAAACACCTGTTGAAGAATACTGTACAGTGTTGTATGACACCTGATGGAGTAGACAGGATGTACTGTGGAATAGTTTACCTTGGCGTGTGTTTGTCTCAGTCAAGCTGGCTTGTGAGTCCAGCTATTGTTTGTTGCCATGTTTGAATACAGTAAGCCTTCTTGAGGTCCTTTCAACATGTCCCTCTGAGGACATGGCATGTTCAGTGGGGAGATTTACAGGAACGACCAAATAAATATAGGACACATATTTTAAGATTATTTCCTCGTTTTTTTGTATAGTCAGCAGCCTGAAAGGAGAACCAGACTTTCAGTCGACCAATGTGCAATTGTACAAATTACCAGTACACAGAATATGAATGTGTTTTATGGTGTTTTTATCAGTATAACTGCCAAAGCCTTTTGGGTGTGAGCAATCAGCAACAATATAGAAGTCCAGTACTTCTTTACACTTCTTAAATAATCCGTGAGTCACAGAAACAGGTGGCTGTAGGTTTTGTACATAACTGGGTTTATCAAGTGGGAACTTCCAATCACAGATGTTTGAAATTATGTCTGTGTCATTTTAAGAATCTCTTCATTCAGTCCCTTCTTCAGCGCATACAGACGTCTACATGGAATAAAAACATGTCTGCTCATGTTATAATGGTTTATTTGACTGCTTAAGGTCTTGCTCTTTTTAGTTTTATCCACATAACACACTTTTTTGTTGCAGTAGTAAACGGATTAAGATTAGGGCATTTTACATTGTAAAGTATGATTTATTATGGTGTAATAAAACATTATAATACTGTTAAATGATAAACACATCATTTTTATGGTCCAGAACAGAAGTGACACATTTGAAATCAGGTGCCACAGCAGCAACAGTGTCTACATTTATATTCTACATTTACAAATGTCATTTTAGAGTTCACAAACTACTGTTCTGCTTTAATATTGTAATTTAACTCAAAGTTTTGCCTAACCTGCCCTATTTTATACATTGAAAGACATAATAGTGAGACAAGGTGACATGGTAAGACACTGACAACCATCAGGTGACCAGAATAAATCACAAAACATTCAGCTCATCTAGAGTGCTGCAGCTTGGCTCATCCTCAACCTCCTGAAATTCCCCCCTTAACTCCTCTCTTATCTGCACTCCACAGGCTGCTAATGGCTGCTCATATCATTTTCAAAATACTGATGTCAGCCTTCAAACACCCCAATGGCTACAGACCAGGATTTAACGCTTCACTCACTGGTCTGCAGCCTTCCTGGGCACTGCTCGACTCTCTGCGGGCTGAAAACTCTCTTTAACTCAATCTAAAAAGCTGATCCCACTTCCCTGACATATATTCATTTTAGGGGTGTAATACTACATTGTTTCATGCTGGATTTGATGCTGGTGTTAAAACAATGAAGTCATCACGTGTGTGGTACATAGGCCAAGCTACACAATTCTGTGCTGGTGCTCACAAAGCAGAGATGTTTTTTGTTACTATATATGGAAGCTGGTTGGACCATAAAGCATTGAGCCCAAACCTTGGAGTCCATAGCCCCTGAGAGGTCTGAGGATAAATCACAGAGGTTGCAAGTTGATTCAAATGACACAAAAGGAAAAGAAACATTTCTGCTATGCAAAATTAAGCTCATAGTATTTGACATTTTACTAATTTTGACCTTTTTATATAATGTTTTTAAAACCTGAAAAGCTAAAATCAGTCTGGTTGAAATGTGCACAGCTCATAGACTAATGCAGTCTGACATGAGGGGTCTAGACAGTGCTTAATTTCATGGGTTCACAATGAAAAAAGCTTGGGGACCACTGCTTTGGTGTTTACTCTCCCTGTGGAAGGTCACTACAAGATCAGACAGAAGTCCACAATTCTTTCTAATTTAAATGTCACTGTAAACATATACAATTGAAAATATATGGCACAATTCAGCATCTAATCAAATCAAACCCTGACTTTGTGAGTCATAAAGTCACAGCCCTGACATGATAATGATCCATGGCATGTTGCAGGGCTCCTGTGCAGCCCCAACATTCGTCCATTCATCCTCCGGCAGCACCCTGGTTATAACACATTCACAGACTTGTATGCAGATAGGAGAATACATGTCTTTCATAGCTTCAAGCGGCTCATGGGGGCGGTCAGTTGAGCCTCCAGGGCCATCTGAGCAAAAGTTCGACCGTGTGTCTGCTGTCTCGCTCTCTCCCTCATGTGAAAGGAGGCCCGAGCCAGCCTGTGTGCCTCCTCCTGTATCTGCTCCCTCTGCCTCCGCAGCCTCTCCCTCCTCCACTCCTTCATGAAGACGCAGCTCTCTCTGACCTTCCTCATGGCCTCCTCCTCTCTCTGTATCCTCTCTCTGAGCCTCTGGTGGCAGAGCTGCCTGTGCTTATTGTGTTGCTGTGCCTGCTGAGCTCTGTTCCTCTGCTGGGCTGAGGCGTGCAGGGCAGCTCTCTCTGCGCGACGCTGGCTCAGTTGGACCAGGATCTGTTTCTGTGTGAGATGCTGGTCCCTCTGCAGCCTGGCCCTCTGCTGTGCTCTCTGAATCTGCTCCTCCTCCCTGGCCGCCCGCTCCTTCAGCTCCCTCAGCTGTGCCTCTACAGCCTGGGCCCGTCTCTCGCAGGAGTGCTCCAGCTTCTTCTCAAGTGTGCTCCTCATCTGGGCCTCCTCTTCCTCCACCTGCTGCTCTACTTGCTGTTTCAGCAGGATGTGTCGAAGTAGCTCTCTACGATTTTCCTCCTGCAGCCTCTTCCTCTCCTTCTTCTCCTGCAACACTTTGCTCCTTCTGGCCTTCTCCTCCTTCTCCACTGCCACCTGCCTCTCTCTCTCTTGCTGCCTTTTCTCCATCTCCTCCTTCTCTCTCAGCAGCCTCTCCTGGTAGCGTTTGCGCCCCCCTGCCTCCTTCTGTGCAGCCTTTATCTTCTCCCTGAGTTGTCCATCCACCTCCTCTTTCAGCCTCTTGCTACGGTCCTCCTGCAGCAGCACCTCCAGTGCAAGTTGTCCCGCTTTCTCTTTCTCCTGACGCTCCCTCAGCCTCCTGCGGGCCTCCAGCTCCTCACGCCACTGTCGCATACTCTGCCTCAGTTTCTTCCTCCTCTTTTTCTCCTCCTGAGCCTTCCAGGCCTCCTCCTGCCTGCGGGCCTCCTGTCGCTCCTGTTCCTCCTGCTGACTGAGCTTCAGGGAAGCCTGCTCCTCCTGGTGCTTCACCAACATCAGAGCTGCTATCTTGCGGTCTCTCTCTGATACCGTGACACACATCTCCTTTTTTATATCATTGGTGAGCCTCTCCAGTTTCCTCTCAGTAGCAGGGGTGTGTCTGAGGTCTCCCAGACTGAAGCTGCAGACTGTACTCCTGTCTGGGTCTCTGTTAGAGCAGGAGGACCTACTCACTGATTTCCCTTTAAAGCACAGATCTGCATACGGGATGGGCCTTGTTGACTGCCTGTCCCTCCTGTGATCCTTCAGTTTGGTGTCTGGCGCCACTTCCAGGCATGACACTTTACTACTACCTGGCCACCTGTCCCCAGCCGCCTGGATAATCCTCTCCCTCTCCTCTCGGCACATTTGTAAAAGCTTCATTCTCTCCTTCTCATAGGATTCGTGCATAACTCTCATCGCCTCAAAGGGTACGTCCTGCCGCTCACCAATCAACTCGTTTAGTGATTTAATCAGAAGTTCAACAGGTTTGATGCCGAGTCGTGCACAGGACTCCAGGGAGCGGGGACTCGTTAAAACGTACCGACTCCTCTCTGCTTCGGCCGAGTCAAAGTTGTTCAGGTCCAGACGAGGCCCAGGAGCCCTGGACTTCAGCTCCCCCATGTTTAAAACAACAGTCAAATTACCTGGATGATAATATCAGGCACCTTAAAATTGCTTCTGCTCCCGTGCTCATGCCGTGTAGCCTGTGTTCCCTCGGTGTGCAGCCTGGAGAGGTCATGGAGGGATTAGCTGCGTTTCCACACAAGCGGCGCTCAGCTGCACCTGACTGTCCCTGCTTCACCTGTAACACATAGACAGATTTATTCATGCAAATGTGAGAAAACGTTAAATGAATAAATCATAGCATATTAGAATCCTGAAAAAGCGTTGACATATGACTTATAATTTAACATTTTAAGTAATACATAGGCTAAGACTTTGCCACTAGAAACACTTGACATGTAGCGTATTAGGCTCCTAAATTAAGTCTTTAACTGAACTTTTATGCCATTATTTTTCAAATTATCTTGAATAAATATATGTGAAACGTTCTACTTTTACATGATAACATTTTAATAAAAGAAACAAAATAAAAATGTCAACAAAAAAAACAACACTAACCACTTCTGCCGTTTAAAAAAACCCATAAAGTCAGCTGGTTGTGTTGGCCAGAGCCCTTGAGACTCTTCTGGTAACCATGACAACAAGAACATTGAGTTTACATGGAAGAAAGAAGAGCGGCTCTCTAACGACGGAGAGCTACTTACATTATTAGCGCGCCATCTTCCGGTGAGTATCCGCGGGAATACTACGTCACTGCTGACGTGTTGTCACTGCAGCCATCAAGACTGGTGCTGTATAACATTGCTGAAGTTAGTTCCATGTTCGTCAGGTGCCTGTAAATCTGAAATTCAGGGGAGAAACTAATTGGAAAACTGATTTGAAGTCACCACGAGCTTGATTGATAAATAAATAAATAAATAATAAAAAATATCTTACATGTGTTGATTTTAATCCTGTGTGTGCAAAATGCAATAAAATGTTTTGTTTTTCTTGTTTAAGGCTTTAAAAAAATCAGTTTTGTCAGGCACAACAGTGTTATCTCCAGTTAGGTTACTGAAGTGATTACATTAATGAGTGTGCGGTAAAATCAACTAAAGTTAGCTCTGTTAGGCATGTCTGCTTCACTCTTTTTTCTTTTTTTTAACATGTATGTTTTGGGAATATGGTTGGAGGTTTAATGTCAACATCACTGATTTTTTTTTTATCTTGAAGGTGAAGCAATGTCTTAGCACATTTTTATTTTATTTTTTCTCTTTCTGTAAGAGCTTAAGCCTTAAACAGCCACATTAGTGATACTGTTAAAGTGTTTACAAACACATTTTACATCCAGTATAGTGCTTATACAGGTCAAAGTTAGTGACTGATAATCTCTTAAAATGTAAAACAACAGCTCCGATTGATGTAAACATTTTCTTTGTTTCATGTATTTTGTAATGTAGAAGAAACTCGAAATGAAACAGCGTTATTATTATTATTATTATTATTATTATTATTAAAGTTTCAATTTCAGTTTCCTTTTCCTCAATCAAAAAAGTACCAATACTAAACTAACTTCATCATCATCAACATTACTGGAACACTCCTGGCGCGCTTGTCTCTCACACACAGGTAGCTGTGTTTAAGTTATCTAAATTAAAATTGATCTAGTTTAACAATAATCAGAGCACGCTGTGGTTTTACTTTTAATGTCACGTTTGTTACGGCAGGAGAGATAACGGTATATAAGTACAGCTCCGTTGCCAACACAAGTGATTCTGCTAGCTAGCATCGGCTAACGTTTGCTCAGACCAAAGATGCACTGAAGCAACATGATGAACTGCTCAGTACTTCCGTGTTTGAGTTAACCTCCGCCTCCTGACCGGCCCGGCAGAAGTTTACTTCTGGTTTCTTTGATAGCTGAGCGGGGTTTGGCTTTTAAAATATATTTTAGCTGCTTAGGTTTATTTGTTAGTCGTGTATTAGCATATTTGAAGTAATGCCAAGGTTGTGTTTCGTTGAGACATAATGTAGCGCTACTGTTGAGTAGCTGTATCGTTTAGCAGTGGCTAACTTAAGCTATGGTTAGTTCCTGTTTAGCACATACGCTGTACGAATCAAATGTATTAACACTATATTCATTAAACAGACATTTGAAGCATTTTGCGCTTGGGCTACCTCGGGAATAAGCTGTAGCAACGGAGTTTTATCTTGACTTTTCTAACGTCTTTGGCTGAAGTTTAGAAAAAACGGCTGGTGGGTTTAGACGTCGCGAAATAACATCAAACAACTCGATAACTAAACACAATCAGTCCATTGTTTTTGTCAGAAGGTAAACAATTAGCGGCAACACTCACACATTGAAACAAACTTTGTTTATATTGGACCTATTTTGCGTCGACGTGTTTGCCTTTTACAACACGCAGCTTGTCTGCTAACTGACTGAACATGAAGAGAGCCAGAGGCGGCGGTGATGAGGAAGCTCCCCGGCAGAATGGCACCACATCCCGCAGGAGAGGAGACCAACAGCAAGGTGATGGGGAGGACGGTGGCAATAGCTTCGACCCAACTGAACTGCAGGACGACGACAATGACCCGGGACTCAGGAGAGAGATACGGAGCAAGTACAGAGACCTCATCAACTCGGTGCAACGTGAGTATCTCATGACAGGCAGGTTGGTGTGATGGCGTGCATTGTTGTTGTTTATTTGTTGACACGTCTTTGATGGATTTCCTTTTGTGTTTTTTCTTTTCAGAAAACAGAGAAGATATGCTGAGTCCCTCCAACAACAAGCTCACAGAAGTTTTAGAAGAGGCAAATAAACTTTTTAAAGATGGTAGGTGTGACACAGCCACAGAAATGTTCAGTCTGGGCTGCAACAGGGTTGTACACTCAATAAAATGAAAGGGTGGAGGCACAGTGCTGCACTATACATCCATCTATCCAGCCATCCATCCATTTTCATTCGTTTATGCGGGGCCGCTTTGTGAGGGCAGCAGGCCGAGCAAAGCACCCCAGACATCCCTCTTCCCAGCAACACCTTCCAGCTCCTCCTGGGGGACTCCAAGGCGTTCCCAGGCCATTTCATCCCACAGTCCAAAGACATGCAGGATAGGTTAATCGTCAGCTCTAAATTGCTTGTTTAAAGTTGTCATTTACATTTAGTGTAATGTTATATATGTAGTCAAGTCAAGTCATACCTGAATCACATTGTTATCATGCAGCCCTACATTTCGTTCAGTTTGCTTTCACTGTGTTCCTCGGCAGTCCGGCAGGCGAGAGAAGCAGCTCTGGACGCCCAGCTCCTTGTTGTGGCCACAGACCTCGGAAAGGAGAAAGCCAGCCAACTTTTCTCCGAGGGCACGGCTTTCGATCCCACTGCTTTCGCTGAGAATCTTGTGAGTGAGTTTATTGTGTATACACATTATGACATCATACATAAAATGGTGGTTGGCAGGCACAAACTTCAACCAGCCCTGTTACTGGAGCTAAAACAGCTTTCAGTCTTTACAGTATTTCACAATTCTGTTTTAATACGTTCCTTCCTTTTGTTAAAAAATCTTAACATACTCGCCGTCGTAATTGCACTTAATCCGGGGGAAAGGGTTTGTCTCCTCCTGAACAACACTCTAATAAATGTATTGAACTGTGTGAGAGAGGGAAACTCAGGGAACAGAAAGCAAAATGATAAACGTATAACAATCTACGATGTAGAAAATCTGAACATGTTCGTAATGCGAGTACCAAGGCAGTATACATTGCAGTGGTCATGTGGAGATGTCTCTTCTTCTCTGCCAGCTGTCTTTCATGGGTCTCAACCGACTAGAAGACGGCGAGAACGAGCAGCAGAATGGAGATGCACTTGATGGCTACCTGCCCCAGGATGCTTGGCACAGAGTGGCCAGGAGAGCAGAGTGCTGCTTCAGGACAGCACCCTCCTTCCACTACATGTGAGTGCCTCAGCATGTTATGTGCCAGCATGTACTAATGTGTCAGGGCATTCACCTGCTCTCTGAAACAACCACTTATGATCACTAAAAACCCACATATTGTTATTTAGTGAATGTCAATTAGGGATCACAGAGGGGAGTGCACGTTAACCCACAATTTTAAAACTGCTGATTTGTAGTCTCGCGAGAGAACAGCTTTATTATTTCCACTATTATTATAGTGTAATTATTGCATATGCGCTGGTGTGTTACTGTCTTCAGCACTATCTGACTTTGTCATTTCTGTGTTCATTTCATCAGGATGGGTTCCTTCCATGCAGAGCCGCCTCCTCCAAAACAAAGGATTGAACGGCTAAGGAAGCAACCGAGCAAGGAACTGAAAAGGATAATGCCTACTCAGGTACATAAACTTACACTTTAATGGCTCCACTTATTTACAGTGAATGAAGCTTCAGATATCTGTTGTCATATTTTAGGATGTCATCACCCTAAGTTCTTGAACAGGATCCTCAGTTTTGAACAAAGTGATTATCAGATTAAATGATTAACTTTCTTTAATGAATAAATTTAATTCATGGTGTTGTTAGATTGTGTCTGGTTCGCCCCGTTAAAACAGATGTAGGGCTGTACGTGACTCAGATACATCAATTCGATACCAATATTTGACTATTTGTTCCTTTTTTTCCATATAGAGTTTGAGAAGTTGAACGGGGCTCAGCGAGATGTTCACTGTGACAGTGACATTCATATAATAACAAGTTAACGGTGCTATTTGACAAATCAGACACGTCCAACACGTATCACAACTACAGCTACATATCAAACAAAAGCCAGACACTATTGTATTGAGTTGCTGGGAGCTGTAAATTCCCCACCACTAGGCACGGTGGCGCAGTGGTTGTTTGACCGTAGTGAAAAATTTGTTTTTGAATAGGGCTGCCCCTGACTAAGAACTAGTCGACCAATAGTTGTCATGTCGTGCCATTAGTGGACTAGTCGCCCACATGTTTACGATATTAATTTGATAATTAAATGATATATTGTGGGCGGGGCAACACAATGGTTTGAGTTCAAGGTGTGAGAAAGAATAGTATCAGTAACATTGTTAACACTGTGCTACATTACAGAGAAATACAAAACCGCACTAATGAACCCTCATTAATATAGGCATACATTTTATCTACAAGTGCACGTCACACACTGAGCGAGCCGCCTGTTAATGACGCTGTCTGCAAAGCAGTAATGACTACTTCCATGTTGCAGATGAATGATAGGCAAATGTTTGCCTGCAGAGTTTACATATCACCTTGGGTTCGTCCTTCACCTTCTCAAAATAATCCCATACTTTGGATTTCCTGCCCGACATGTTATTAACTAACCTGTGTTATAACAGCCCTGGAAATTAGGGGCCATACACATGCCACATCTTTAATTGCCTGGAAAATGTGAGGTGGGGCACTTTGCTATTTTGTGCCAGCTTTCAAGAGCACAGCAGCAGGTTGCGTCTTTACCTGAAAGCCTGAGTGCAGAGCGGATGTTCCTCCAGGTGCTGTTTATAAGTGTGTAGGCCTATCGTCCATGGGACAGATGTAAAGCTCTGGGTAGCCCTGCACTAACATGTTCAACTTTTCTGTTTTTATCAGACTGAATATTTACAGAAGAAGGGAAAGACATCTGTCGGCTGTGATTGGATTGTAATGTGACTCCTGTCTGACTGCTGAGCGAGGCCACTTCCTGTGTCTGTTCTCTCAAATTAAATTCCCACATGGTCCAGTCATATAGATTTTCATTTATTTTGACAAGGCGCAGCTGCTAATAGAGTTTAACTTTTGTTTTTTCTGTGACTAAGTTCAAAGTCGCAAGGTTCAAACTGAATGATTAGACACACAAAAAATAGCTGCATAGCATTCAAATGTTGATTTAGTCAGTGTTATAAACGAAGCTTCCAGCTGTTCGGTACAGCCACAGAGTGATGTGTTAGGTGAGCAAAATCTTAGATACTCCTGAATAAAAGTGTAGCAGCCTTCCATCATCCTACAAAAATGACTAATTCAGTCAGTTGTCTTGTATGAGATGGTTTTGATGTCCCAGAAACTTACTGCATCACGTTAATGTCTGCCAGCTGAAGAGAATGGAAGACTCCCATCAGGAAGCGACTGAGAAAGAGGTGGAGAGGATCCTGGGATACCTGAAGAGCTATTACCAAGACGATCGTGAGTTTAAAGCCAACTTCATGGACGTTAACCTTTCATTATTGTGTAACTGTTCTTTTCTCACATGTCTCTGATTCTATCACAGCAACATCACCGATATCTTATTACGAGTTCGTGATCGACCCCAAATCGTTTTCCCGGACAGTAGAGAATATTTTCCACACGTCTTTCCTAATCAGGGTGAGCTGACTGTGCTTCAGTTTGTTTTAACGGAGCTTGTCTGCCCTCTAGTGACGTTAACAGGTGTGACAATGTTTGTGTTACAGGATGGGTTGGCACGGATGTATCTGGATAGTGGCAAATTGCCATGTATAGGTGAGAAGATGTAACATTAAGTTGAAATATTCTTACTAAGGGATAAACTTCAGTCAGTTATTTTACCAGTGTTTTATATTTTTGTATCTCAGCACCTGTAGAGGAGGGAGAGGTGGAAGCTGGAGGATCATACAGCCGTAAGCAGTGCATCGTCTCCATCAGTCCAAAGACGTGGAGGGTTAGTACATTTTGGCCTGAATACAAATGACTTAATTTAGCAACAATACAAGACCCACATACAAAAAACCCTTGTTTTTTGTATTGATAATTATTTAATTGTCACGACTGTTCTCTCCCCAGGAGCTCATAGAAGCCTTCGACATCAGAGACACATTGATTCAGCCTCCGAACACGCAGAATGAGTGACAGACCCTGTCACTTTTTGGCAGCTGAAACTGAACCATGTTTTTAGGTGTGTTAATGTTTTTTTATTTCTGAATAATAAAAACAAATAGTTAAAAATTTGCTGAGGCCAAATTCCAGTGTAGGTCACTCATGTAAACACATATCATAGTAACTTAGGATCCTAATTACTCGATTGTACATTATTTTTGTAATTTTTACTTTTTACTGTTTTTAGAAGTTTGAATAAAAGAGACAAAAAAGACAGAGAGAAAGATGTTTTATTTATTACTCATATGAAATATGTGTGAATGCCATAATTTGAATGGTTTGATATGTGGGTTGGTAACACCTGTGTTAACTGGGCAACTTCCTGCATTAAAGGATCTGTGTACGACATTAAACGCTTTAAGCTATTGCTGCGTTTCATTTACCTCTGAAGTTGGAGGTTTGAGCTGGGAATGATGTCACACCCAAGTACACTGTGTTCCAGTATGGCAAGTCAGGAAACCAAGATGTTGTTAGCAATACCAGTTCTAGCCAAGGTAGCTATTGTTAGCAATACCAATTGATGATAATGCATTACGCTGTGTGTTGTGTATACACACAACCATAGCAACATGTCCACAGAGAGAATGTGGACATGACTATGTGTACAGCTGTTTTAATGGCACACAAAGAAGACAAAAACGTTAATTAACAGTATATTAGTACAGCTTTCACTACTGTTGATACATGGCACAGTCATCTTGAATTTTGAGGGTTGGATTGGGATGTTCCTTCAACTTTCAGAGTCAGAAATCCAATTTTAGGCTGTGTTTCAGTTGAAATTTCTGACAGGGATTATGGAAGTTCCATCTTCCCAGTGCAAATGGCACGCACCATGAGCCATGAGTTTCAGAGTCTGTGTAGGGATTGCCTGCACACGGATCTCAACATGGAGGCGGCTGAGCTGGCAGCTAGCAGCTAATGATGCCAACAGTGCAAACATTGCTTACAGTGGCAACGGTGCTGACAGTGCTAACGGTGTTAAGGTCTTTGTGCTCTGAGTCTGTTTTTTTCAGATGCATTTTTTAACCTGTCATCTGAAAAAAATTGTCATGCACAGAAACATTGCACACTGATTCCGATGCGCTATAATGCTTTATTTGTTGAGAAAATTCACAATACGTGACAAAATGAAAAGTCACATTCCCTCCTTTGCCTCTCTCCACTGGTGATACCTATCTGGCTATCATCACCCCCTTCCTGTTTTGCATTTGGCACCACAGCTGTATGAAGGGGCGGAGCTGTGCTCCCTGTCTGTCTCCACAATCTGTTTGCAGTCCACATCCTCCTCCTTGTCATCATCACCATCCACCACCTGCATATTACTATCTGACCTGTGAATGTGAGCTATCTGAGTTAGGAGATAATTCTGTGTGCCCTATTCCTCTGTCTTGTCACAGCTGTGTCCCACCGCCACATTTTCTTCACTGATTCTTTGTCAAATGTCTCTAAAGGCTTCTGACAGATCATCTGTCAGAAATCTTCCATCCTCCACATTTCAGGCACAATTTTTTTTCTTGCTTTAACATCTGAGATGTTAAAAACAGAGAATCTAACCTGTTCCAAAAATAGACTCTGTGCAAAGGCCTTTACCCTGGGCAAAACTGCAGGGCGAGCGTTAGACTTCCGCAACAACGCCATTTAGCTACCATTGATCAAGACTGCGTTATTAATGGTAACTGCTGTATGGGTGCAGCACAGAGAAGCAGCAATTAGCTAGTTAGTGGCATACACACACACACACGTGAACAAAAATGCACACGCGACTTGACCAGCTACCACGACACATGACAGAGTAGCTCTCTTTACAGCGCACACACAGGAGTGTGACGTCATTCTCTGCTCAGGATGCCATTGCTGCACTAAATCTTTACATAGCAAATAGTGGTTTGCTGCTATATTAATGCTCTGAATGTCGCATACAGGACCTTTAAAATTTAAAAGTGCTGTTTCCTGTGCACATTGAGTCCATGACCAATAACCAAGTTATGACCCACATACATAAGTGCAACTGGTGACAATAGGTCACAAGTTGATATTGCTTCATTTTAAGGGGCCACAAGCCTTTAGCACTGAGAACCACTGCCAGTGCAAGGTTGATTTGGGAATGATTGATCACAAAATAGCTCCGACCTGGTTGTTACGATGTGTGTGTTGGTCGGCATAAGCAAAACTGGAACTATGCCATTACCCAAGCTGCTGTACAGTTTATGCTGCTTTTCCACCAATCAGCATATTCTGTCTAGATTCAGGCTTTCTATTTGTGTATGGTGCAGTGCTATGGTGCAGATAATGTGCCAGCAGTTTCATCATTTCATTGCTCCTGAATGGTAATGATAAATAGGTAGAGGTAATTTGTAATTGTGTAGTGCTCATTTCCAAGTCTTGTGGTATTTTGGGAACACAAATTGTCAGTATCCATGTTTCTGCTCTAATTGTAGAAATATATATGTATGCAAAACACAAAATTATTCATCTACTTTTCTTGCTGTCATTTTTCCTCCTGCTCTGTTTTGCCTGAGTGAACTTCACTGTGATCAGATTTATTTGGATGAACACACTGATATCATCGTGCGTTCTCATCATGATGATGCACCACCATCTCCTGGATCTTTTAAAGGGACAGACACCCTTTATGCTGCCTCCCATCTCTGCCTCTCTCCCTCTCTGAGCATTTTTTTTCCCTCCAGAGCAGTGCTTCAGTCACACCCGTGCAGTAAAGTGAGGCTAAGCTGCACATGAGGCTGCAAAGAGAAGCTCCCTTTTTTCACACTCATTTGATTAGGTTGGACTCCTTACGTAATGTGGATTTTTTTTATATAACAATGGCTTGAAAATATATGTCACAGGCGTACCACGGGCAATGCAGTGCAGAGCGTTTATTAGTCACTGAGGCACACACTCACACAGACACAGAGACGTGCACACGCTCACTCTGTAGCTCCAGCAGAGGTCTGCCTGCTCTGGCAATGCTCACTCTGACTGATAACGATGCAGGTCTTCAGAAAGGTGCTCTGCAAGCCGTGTAGTGCCAGAGTCACTTCACCAGAGGAGGACATGGAATACAAGATGGGGAGCTGCATCGGAATCTCACACAGACAGGTAAACAGAGGAGAGGGAGGAGGCTGCCTGCAGTATAGCATCAGTGCCTGTCTGACTGAGCAGGGAGAGTGTGCAAGAGGAGACAGAATGGGTGTTGTTGGACAAAAGCTGGGTCTTTTCTCAGGCAGAGAGAGAGAACTCCAGTGTTAAAGGAGGGGCGATGTCAGCGTGGAAAAAGGAGCTGTGGAGATGCAGAGGAAGGGAGGAGTGTAAAAGTGAGAGAATGATGCTGAGTGTACTGGGTGAAGATGGGAGGCAGGTTGACAAGAGAATGGATCACGTGTATGTGCAAGAGTAAGACTGACAGTTGAGCTAGGAGGGACCAATGGTTTTAAAGTACGCTGTGGGAAACAGAGCTGATCTAATCAGTGTTATTTATAGGGATGATAATAAGCCTGCTGTGTCCACAGACTGGGCAGTCAGCTGAAGATGGCCTGTGATGATGGCAGATAAGACAGCACCCGAAATACATTTCAAACCCTCTGTAGTCAAAACCTGTGAATTTGGCTCCTGCTTGCACGCTGTTATTCTTGGCTGTGGTAATTGTTACAGCACAGTTGTGGTTGTGTGTGTTTAAACATGTCAGTCACTGTCAAATGGACACAAGGGAGGCATTATAAAAGCATCACCACGCTAAAGTCAAGAGGATGAATAAATGAAAGGCTTGGAGAGATATAAAGGAAAGCTACAGGTGGGCATCGCTCAGGGAGCCACGAGGTCTGACACCTCATCCTCCTGTCCATGCAGCATGCCTGTTTGTTTACAGTGTTGCCTTAGAGCGACTGTCCCCTCCAGCTGATTGACAGCCCCCCCCCCGTCTCCCTCCCACTACCACCCTGAGCAATCATGGCCTCTCCAGCTCCAGTTCACTCCTGTCCCCGTCCTGTGTCCACCCTGAGTTCTCTCCTCCCACTTAGCGTGCAATGCAAAAATAGCAACAGAGGGACCGGGGCTCCTCAGAGGAGAGAGAGAGGACAGACACAAACATTGGCCTTGAGTCCGACAGTTAACACAGATTGGATTTGGGTTTGTCAAAAGCTTGACACTGGTGAGAGGAAAAGTTGTTTGCAGCGGTAAGTAGTTCATGGGTTGCAGCAGTGGTACAGATTTTGGATTATTTGATTAGTTTGTAGTCGTATCAATATGTAAAAATGAAGGGATACAGGGTAAATGGTGGGGATTACGAAAGCTTATATTGAAATCTGTGTGACTGTGATGTAGTATGATGATTTCAATATATTTGGTTGCCTTAGCCAGGTGGATGAAAATGGTTTAAACCACAATGCCATCTACTATACATCATGTTCACCTGCCTTTCTTGGCCTTTTACCTTGCTGAATTATACTATGTTTATTATCTAAGAAATACCGTTGAATTATGTTAAAATGTCTGTCATCATACAGCATTATGTTCAGTTTGAATGTTGTGTCCCTGCTGGGTTTTCTTGTGTGAAGGGGTCAGGTACAGGGCAGGAAACAGTAACCTCATACGGTAGGTGTCCGAGCACAGACATACGGTGCTCATCCAAACCCAAGAGCTTAAATAATGGCTCATGTTGAGTGATTGACAGGCCCAAGATGAGGTGACAAGAGACCTGGCAACAGTCTAATCATATGATTTGCCCCAGTGCTCACTGCGCTGCCAAAACAGCTCTGAGACACTGTTGCCGACTAAAGTGCACACACGTCCACACGGCTTGAGGGGCTGAAATTACACCCCATTCACACAAATAGCAAGCAGGCAGGGATGGGAGAAGAGTTGCCACACCACAGAATAAAGAATTAAGATGTAAGGGGAAATCCAGATATTAAATTTCCCGTGGGATAATCATAGGAAACAAACAGGACAAAAATGGGATCAAGTATTTGCAAACTCATAACTACACAGCCTTTGTAACGTGTTTGGAAATGAAGTGTGCATGGTGAATTGTGCACAATACTGGAATAAAGTCTAACAGCAGAGGACAGGACAGATCTCTATTTATAAAGTCTTGCATATTCAGGTCAGTGCTTTCTGACTATACACGTATGGACCCTGCAGTCATATGAGGAATGCACAAACATTTCTGTTGGCACGAGTGTTTACTGCTCAGCTGCACTTCATACAACAGAGACATAAGCCAGAAAGATGATTGTCAGAGAATATTTAATCAGGTTATGAAAGTGGCTCTATCTTTATTTGATATAAAATCAGTCCAAGGTTAAAAGCTGTTGTCATTTTCTTGAAATAGCTCAAATATCTATGTGTTTTTCTAAAATATGCTGTTTATAGTTCGATGACACGTTGGATTAGAGATGCTCCTGGATGATTTTAATAGCCGTGACTCTTCCTAACAGACTGAACTCTGCTGGATGCCAAGGGACAACACAATCTGTTATTTACCACATAAGGATTACCTTACTTAGCCTTAGTCACTGTGTCAGTATGCTACAGTCACATCACATGCACAAGCACAAAGTGATGCCATTTGTTTGAGGTAATTCAGACCAGAAGGGACCTGCTGGTCAGAGTAACTTACTGCAGTAGGAGTTGATATTGCATCCTAAAGTAATCTCTACAATCATCCAGTATGATTACAAGATGCTGTGAGGATGCTGTTCGTGCTTTTAAGCCCACACCAGCAGAGGTGAAGCCTGCACTTTGGTCTGTGAGGGAGGTCTTGCATCACAGGTCCCTAATCTCTAAAACAACACACACACTTAACCATTCTCCCTCCCTGCTAGTTCAACTTCATACCACAGACCTCTAATCCTGCGGAGCATGAGTCTGTGACCACTGAGGGACCACAGTCCACTCTGTGTCTCTCTGGGAATACTCGTACGCTGATGGTCTCTCTGTCGCCGGTGTCTTTCAGCCAGCTGATGTGAGAGGCTGTAGGTTTGGGCGGTTGTGGCCCCGCAGCTGGATGTGCCATGGGGAACGAGAGCAGCACCACTGAGGCGTTGGTAAGGGCGAGCTCGCTGGAATTGGATGGCTGGGACTGCTACTTGCTGCCCCCGTGCTGCTATATGTATTGAGGACTAACAAAACTAACACTTGCTGGCATGATAACTAACTGCTGGCTTCAGTAAAACACATGGGATGTGCACAGGATGGGCTGTGAGCTTTGCGTACATTCCCATGCTTGACTGAGGCTTGTCTAATAAGCATTTGGATAACATGCCTTGTTCTTTTTTTGTGGTTAATTGGTGTTTACTGCTACACACAATGATACTTCAAAGCTTGCTGTCTTGCAGCTTATAAAATCCATCATTACTAAAATGGTTGGAAAGCCATTATGTATGCCTCAAATGTGCATTTAGTATTACTGTTATATTCAAGAATATTTTTTGGCTGTAATGGTGTACTTCGTGATTAGAAAAAAAGACAGCTATAGAAAAGCAGTAATTTCCACATGTGACAGGACTTCAGCAGCGGAATTCAGGATTATCTTAATAGGATTAACATACACTTCTGTCTCATGAGCTATAGACTTAAAACATTATGCACTGGATCTCATTAGACGTGATTGCAGAGTGGAGCTTAACATTACTACTTTTGCCTTAAAAAACAAAAGTGATTTGTTTTCCGCTTGTTAGTGCATACCACTGCTGCTGCTGTATGCTTTAGTGTGGGTTTTCCCTCATTGAAGATGTACCGTTGAACTCTTTCATTCCCCATTACAGCCAGAAGAGGGCGCTCCAGAAAATGTTGTTCTGTTTCCACCTCAGGAAAATCAAAATGACTCCCCACAGGTACAATATATGTGAATGTGTGAGAGAGTGAAAGCCTGAGTGGATACTAACTGGTGAATAAGATTTTTTGTAACCCAATTCTATTCAGCAATTTGCATATGTGATGATACAGTAGCACATTTTTCTTTGTGAACAGATATATTAACCCTTTTACCCCCCATCCCCCTAACAATCCCCTCCCAGCTCATAAGAACAAAGTAAATTAATAGAATAAATGAAAACAACTGAATAACATACATCGACACAAAGAGGTGTGCAACAAATGTAAAACAAATTGATAAATAAATGATAAATAAATAAATAAATAAATATTAATAGAATTAAAAATAAAAGTCAGCTGGTAAAACTACTTCGACACAACTTGCAAGTATACATATACAGTTAAATAAACAAACCAGAGCATAATAACAAAAACATCTAGCTAAAACTGTCTGACCTTCTCTTTATAACATCATACCTCATATAATACAGCTCTACTGTTATGATAAAGACAAAAACAGACACAAAGAACATACACATCTGCACCTTTTGATCATTCCTCCCCGTCTCCATGGGTCTTTCTCTAAATCTACTATGCATGTATAAAGTTTCTCAAACCTGCACTGAGAGCTCCACAGCTGACTAGAAAGACTGCGTGGTGGCTTCCACCTAACAACCAACATCTTTTCAGCAGCAGTGCATGCTGATAACCATAGCTGCTTTCGAGTGTGATTGAAGTTCTGCCCTCAGTCATCATTAAGTAGTGTACATGCTGGAGAGTCAATGTAACACCCCAAACTTCAGATAGACGTTTGTTATTTGTTCCTAGAAACTTTTAACTGACGGACACTTCCACAATATGTTAGAAAGTCCCCATTTGATTTAAATTACACAAAGTACAGTATGAAAAAGTAGACATATTAATCATGTAACGCCATTTTGGTGTCACATAAGTTTGAAATATGAAAGTCAGGTTTAGTAATTAGTGATTTCTGGCCCTGTCTATCAATTATTCAGAGCAGCTCTTATTCCTAATTGCTATAATGCCTATTGGAATTTGTGTGTGCTCTAATTAAATATTATATTTAGCTAATCCAGATAGTCTCCTAATTAAGTTCATTATTGTTAACTGTCACTCAAGATATTTGCAGCCCATGTAGCAGAAAATAACTGTTGATTACAATGTAAATTATATAATTAAATTATACTTAAAGTATTATACTTTTGTGCTTTTTTTTTTTATTGGACCCTGTTTTCCCATGTTTTTGTTTATAAGTGACAACAATAGTTTTTGACATTGGTCCAGTATTGAGTGAGACCAGTGCAGACAGCAGCAGTGAAACAAGCTCCAATGTAATCATTCGGACAGGGGGGTAGATACAGACAGTTCAGGCATTGCAATTGCGCTGGGGCCCCAGGGATGGATGGGCCCGTAGGGAGAGCAGGCTCTTGCAAGTGATTCATATTGCCACCTTGGAAATATACCTGTATTCAAAGATAAATGATTAAAAACTGTTTTTTTTTTAAACTGTCCCATCTGCTATTCAAATCCTGAAAAAGCCAAACCAATCTGTGTCTTGTCTTTCTTTTTACCTTTCATTTTTTTAAATAGTCAGAAAAAAATTAAAATAAAATAAAAAATAAAATAAAATTATGTCTTTTCTAAATAAGCTCTAGAATCTATAAATGTACTATGAAAACTATCAAATTAAATATTACATTTTTCACTTTCTTTGATATTTTTGTCAGATATGCAGTGGTAATTGCTGGGTAATAAGTATGTTGATGTTGTCCAATGTCAAGTCTCTTTTTGTGTCAAGACAATACATGCACGATAGTGTGCACTGGGGCCCGTCATAATAGAGTGGACAGAGGTCCATCATAACTTTCTTATGCCACTGGATTCAGGGCATGTTTGCACCGTCTGTTTACTTCCACTAAAAGTGCTTGTTTTTGCCATTGCCACATTCACATTATTTTTCAAGTGTCTGACAACTTACAGAAAGAGAAACACCTTTTTGTTAAAGAGTAAGATCCTGACTAACCAGAAACAGCCTGAAAATTACTATCGCCAATCCCACCAGACTCCTTTTAAATAAACAGTAATTTTATCATTGTAAAACATTCAAAGTTAACAGAAACCAAAAGCAACTCACAAATACCAAATCGTGTTAGTCTTTCCACTGTTCCAACAATTACCAGTTTTGGTTGGGTCGGTTGAATTACACCCTTAATTCACCCAGTTAGATGTGAAAATGTGCTGGCTCTATACACGTTAAAATTAATGTTTATGTAAATGGAGTCTGGTGGGTTTGACAATGATGATTATGGGGCTGTTTTGGGTTAAACAAAAAGATTTCACTCTCTAACAGGAAGGTATATTTTTGTAGCGATGTTGTCAGACACAGAATAACAATCTGAGCCTGTCAGTGGCACTTTTAGTGATGTAAATTGACAACACATTTATGTCAGGATCACTTCAGGTGACACATATGTGTCCCCACAGTGGGGAAAGTTAAACTTAATATCCAGTGGAAATCAGCCACAGGACAGGACACTTACTGACCAGCTGAAAACATTCAGTGTACTGACAGCTGTTATGTTTTTATATTTATTACCCGAGAGCTGGTCAAAAGGAGCACAGGGTGTTTAAACAGCCAGGGGGAGTTTGTTAATTAGGTGTCATGGAAAGGGTGCTGTCAGCCATAATGATGACGGTGATGATGTCACACCTTAGCAACATTCAGAGGTCAAAGTTGGATGAAGTAGGGGCTTTTATAATGCAGGAGGATGCTGTGCTTCCCCGTGTATATGTGCCCATGTGTATGTGTAACCAAGCTTCTTGGAGTGTAACCTGATCCTCTCTCAGGGGGTCACTGCAGGCCTGACCCTTGGCCTAATTCCCAGCATTCACCTGCAGAGGCACTGTCAGTCAATGCAAGCAGGCAGCAGCAAGAGAGAGGGGGGAGGAGGACTGAGCAGAGGTGGATAGGGAAGGACGGAAGAAATAAAAGAGGGAAGGGAGATAGAAGGAGGAGGAGGAGGGAGTAGAAAGAGAGTGGAAAGAGTATACAGTGGAGGGGGAGGAGAATTCTCTGCACTTCCCTGTGACCAGCCCAGTCAAGTCAGTCAGTCTCAGCAGCCAGCACTGTGTTTATCAGTGCGTGGTAGTGTAGTGTTTCTAGACTCCACACACACATACACACACACATACTGCAAGAGCCTGAGGAGGCTCATGGAAATTTAACTGGGGAGCGGCAGCAGCAGCAGAAGAGAGGACAGGACTGTGGAGAGGAGAGGAGGAGGAAGTTAGCTGAGTCAGTACAGGAGAGGAGAGGGAGCGTCAGCAGCATGTGTTGCAGCATGTTTGTGTCGTCCTCTGCCCCCTTCACAACACACAGCCCTGCAGAGGCTGCTGCCTGTACTGTGAGCAAGGTAGAGGGGTAGCAGAGGAGCTGCAGCGCACTGTAGAGTCACCTTCAGCACAGTGGAGCACACTGCCGGGTAAGTGCAACGCAGGGGATGGTGGGATGAAACTTGATAGAAAGAGTGGACGTGTTGAGCCAGTGCTGTTATTCTGTACGTGTGAGTGGGGGCCTGGTTCTGCTTTAGCACTGGATTCTCCCTGTTTACAGCAGTCATGTGTTAAGCATTAAAGTTGTGTTAGCACATGGGCACTGACAGATTGTATTAACAGTAAGGAGGACTTAATGACTGTTGGACAAGTTTCCAGGCAACCTCAGCTTGATTTCTGTTTTGTTCCTGTGGGTTAATTAATAACAGGCAGTGCTTTCTGCAGAGGGGTCAAACTCACTGTAACGAGGCCTGTGCTTTTCCACCTCACTGAGCTTTCATTTCTTCATACAACGGCCAGTGATGTGGAGGATGAGTGCTGGCTGTGACTGTGGACATGCTGTGCCAACTGGTGCTATTCAGTTTTTAGCTGCTCTGAGTTGATATGCTGTTTTTGACATTATCTGCTCATGATGATAAAGGTGAGAAAGTTCAGGCAGGAAACAGGAAACCAAAGACACGTCAACATGCAGCTGTGATAAAACTGTTCATGTCTGCACACATGACTGCTGAGATGTGGAAGGACTGTCTTCTAAAATCTTATTATGAAACATTAATACAGAAAGTAAAAGCAGTGTGGAGATCACAGGCATCCAGAGAGACAATCTTACCTGCAGCAGTGCTTTTTTGGGTTCAGTTGTTCTTTCATGTTTAATGTTCTCTTATGTTTTTTTCTGCAAGGAGTGGTAGTCTAAATTTGAGCATTTAAAAATAACCTAATATGGATGGAGCTGTGCGGACACAGACGTGAGGAGAGAGGCGACATAATTGGCCAACATTCTTCTAAAATGAGCTTTAGAGGCTGAGTACAGTCAGGATTTTAACTGTTTGGTATTCTGGTATTTGTGTGAGCAGCGTTCATGTTTGTGATCCATCTGTGCTGAATGTGTCACACAAAGGAGGCTCTTTGTAGTGGTGATACAGGTGAGGCAGTGACTCAGAGTCTCCCACTATACACACAGCTTTAATTGTTAACCTCCAGATGAGAGGTGGCATTTGTTGTCTGCCTTAAAGAAGTATATTTCATTTTTTTAAAAAACTTATTTACTAAAAGATTTAATCATCATTTCCGTCTTGTCAGTCATGATAGTCACCTCTGCCTGTGTGCAGCCATGCTGTCTACTACTGGTTCATAAATAATGAATGAACGGATTCAATTCTGAATCTCAGCAGATCCTCAATGGACGGCATTACCACAGCAGCTTCAGTAGTTTTATCCTTTTATACTCACCCTGTTAAACCACCTCATATCCTGATTCTCTAAAACCAGTCTCTCTCTGTAAGAAACAGCTCATGCACACATGTTCCAGACATACTGAACGTTAAAGGGCTGCACTACATCTGCACGTTTACATGTGTCTGAGCAAGCGCAGATTTTCTCGCCTGCACCTGTACACCTCAGTTTGTATCCGAGTGGGTGAAATAAATGGAAACTTTCCCCTCTGTAAACTGAGCCGGAGAGATTCCACCACATAGTGGGTCCACAGTTGAGCGGTGTGTGTTGCGAGGGCCGTGTTGCTGCAACATGACGCCTCAACCAAGTGTTGTGGTGTGTGGCTGTGGTTGGATTCTGTCTGTCTGTCAAACAGTGGGACAGACAGAGAGGGAAAACAGCTACACATGTTTTGGCTACACATGAGATTATAAAACAGATTAAGTCACATTTTAAATGCATTTTTTTTCTCTACATCTCAATTACCTACTCACAATATAGGAAAGAATTAAAAACTAAAAGTGTCAGATGAATTATATGCTGTAGATAATGATTAAACCATGTGTCTGATCATGCCTGTCACAGTCCAGCAAGACTGGTTTGTCTTTACTGATTATTGTTGCTTGCTCTGTAAAAGGTTTTGACTTCCTCCTCAGGTGTTTCTAAGGTGGAAAACACCAGACTGCAATGAAACATACAGTTAATTTAATGACTTCCTTTTTCTCTCAGAGTAGTATTTATATGATGCTCAAGAGCACAGTGTAAACAAAGCTGCAGAGTTGGGCCCAAGCACTGAACCTAGAATAAATTATAGGCTTTAATGTTGGAAATAATCCTTTAATGTCAGTAGTAGTGTGAAATAAGCAAGCTGAGGGACAAAGATAGACTCCAGTCACTATGACCTATGCATCAGTGCACAAACAACACCTTACTTAATAGTATAACACATGGGTGGAGTTATTTGTTTGGCCTTGTATGTTGATTCCGGAGGTGTTCCTGTGTTCAACCGCAACATGCTCACACTTGTTTAACCACACACTGGATCATGTACAGTGCAGAGGAGACTCCAGCGTGTCGCTCACCATGATTATGTTTCACTGTCCCACAGGCTGAAGCTCACTCTGAGACTTTGACCCAGAGGGACGATAGAGCGCTTCTCTCTGAAGCCTCGACCAGCCAGCAGAGTCCGCTGTCTCAACCAGTGCTCCCAGACGTCCCAGTCATCACTGGAGTGGAGGAGGGCAGCAGTGAGGCTGGAGAGCAGGACGAGCTGGAGTTTCCTCATGACCTGCTGCCCAGTCTAGACTTCAGCAGTGAGCTCAACATCTGGGAGGCCTCGCTGGGGTAAGTTGAGGGGTTACACACACACATACGCACATACACATGCAGACACACATGCACAATTATGCAGGTATCCCAGTTTCTATCCTAATGTCAAAATAGAACTGTGACTTGATATCACAGAGAGCATGCTCACCTATTTTCTCTGGTAACTGAATGTGTGCACTGCTCACCTTACTTCTGAGCCGCTACTCATGAGCCAGATTACCCACAGAGGTCTCCTCCTCTCCAAATCAAATGGAGCCATTTATTTAAAGTGGTAAAAACACCATATAAAGCAGTTCCGGGTTAAAAAAAAAATCAGTGTTTTCACAATGGTCTTGTCATAGCAGGGCTGTGAACTACGGTAGCCAACATGAGAACGCAAATGGCCCTATCTAGAGTCAGTGTTTGGTATGTCCATTCTGAGATACTGTAGAAACATGGCAGTGCAACATGGCTGTCTCCACAGACGAGAACCTGCTCCCTATGTAGATATAAACAGTTCTTATTTTCAGGTTATTATACACAAAAGAAATCATACATGTTATATTACATTATATTGTATACCATTTCTGCTATTATATTCCCATAAATCCGGCACTCTGAAACCTTTAAAAACTTTAAAACCAATTTTCTAAATCAGTGTTTTATTATGAGCCATAGGGTCTTACATAAACCCACGATCATCTGCTGCAGTTTAAACAATTTTGGTTAATTCATATGAGAGATATTTAAGTCTGTGTCTGGTTAAAGTGGGCTGGGATCAGTGGGGAAAAGGTGACATCATATACTTCATCTGATGACAGTTATGTTGCTGTCAAACCACAGACACACAGTCCAGACACAGCAAATAAACTGATTTGTTGATTTGTGCTAAACTCTTTGATAAGTAATAATAGGGATAGACCGTTGTCCTTAATTATTAAGAATATTTAATGTTGTCGAGAAAGATTTGATGTTAGAAATCTGCCCAGTCCAACAAACCCATTCCCTGATAAGTCTGCACGTTTTTCAAACCATTAATAAATGTATTATTTACACCTGCTCATACCTGTTTTGGGTTAGTTCAGGACTGGAGCCTATACCAGCATGGATCGGATGAAAGGTAAACAAAGATGCTGGACAGGGCACCAGTAATTTGCAGGGCTAACACATATACAGACAATAGTGTGAGTGGCTTTAGTTTCTACAGCAGTTCAAAAGTCTTTATTCTACTTCGATCACACTTGCCCACATACTACTATTTTTTTTCCATAAGCCATATTTAATGTTTATATTAACAAGGTTATTTCCCAATGCAAAAAAATATAATGTAGTGATTAGAGCCTTTATGATCAATATATTATTATTATTGCATTAATTTATAATAAATGTATTTGATATTCCCTTTGCTTGATTTATGGCCATAAGGGAACACATTTGTCCCAATTATTCAGTCAAGGTTAAGTTAATCTGATATTGATTTCCTGTGAATGTGTGTGTACCTGTGTGTGGTGTGGGTTTGTGTTAGCAGAGCTCAGACTAGCTCAGGTGAGAGGACATGTGAGCAGGTGAACCCCTTGCTGGCGGGCCTGCAGAGCCACATGGAAGTCAGTCGACCACTGGTGGTTCTAGACTCAAGGTACCACACCGGCTCAGCATGACAGGGGGACAGTGGGGCGTCTGCTGTGTGAGCGTGGTCAGCGGGGATGATGAAGAGTATAAGCAGGGGAGCATGGAGTGGAGCAAAAAGATGAGAGGATGATTGAGTGTTTCTAACTTATACTGGAGTGTGATGGATATGTCTGTCTGGGTGTTGCCTGTCTGAGAAGACTTGGCTTGAGGTGTGGTCGTTTGTTTTTATGCTTGGGTGAATTATCTGCAGAAAGACTCAGTGTTCTGTTTCAAGTGTTGCCTGGCATTCTGCTTTTGTCTGAGTGCTGAGGTTAATCACACTAATATGTTTGAGGAGTTAATGTGTTCTGACAACCTGACTTATTGCAGTAATATTGCGTGATGTGAATGTGTAAAACTATTAATGTAAAGTAAGGGTGGCACAGTCGGGAAAGACGTGAAAGCTGTTAGATAATCATGAAGGAATGAGGCACTACTTAGCAGCTCAGTATGATGAACCACTTTACTTATTCAGGCCAAATAAAGATGATAAAGTCTTTCAGCCAAATGCTGCATAATAACAGTAACATACACTCACAATGCAGTACTGTGAAAGCACCTGGTCCATTCCACCTCAGGTAGATATGGCAGGCAACGGCTTGTTGCTCAGCAAAACTTTCCAGCTGCCTTTTTTTACTCGCCCTGCCTTTTTATAGGGAGTGCCAGGTGAATTAGATGCAGGCTTGAATGGCAGACCGGTGAGGTGAGTGAGTAACATGTTCTCAGGGCAGAGGTTGTGTTTACAAGGAAATGACAGAGCATTTAGTGGCGAGAGTGTATCAGCCAATCACATCTAACTTAAGTTATTTACTATTCATCTTATCATGAATGATGACTTTTGTCATAGCGGCTGCTGCATGTATGAAAAAAACATGTAAGGATCTACATGAGTAGGAGTGTAGCTCATCTTATGATTAAATAATGAAGGTGGATCTGTACACTCAGTGGGGCTTTTCCTGTACTGCCGGCTAACAGCTTAGCAGTGACTCAGCAATCACATCTGAATGGCACAAAGCTAGTGTAATTGTTTAAGGCATTATATTCCACGCACACTCATAGTATGATGCTGGCTGTGCACTTTTAGGGAGTGTTTGCTGGGCAGTGTCACTGCTTTGACATATATTATGGAGCAGTATTTTTTTATGGTGCGTAAGTATAAGCATGTGTAGGGTTGTTTATATTGTGACATGATTTATTACAGTCCCTTAAGGGGATAATTATAAAGCTGCCATAGAGTATGTAGCATTTTCATAGCAGTTACTACAGTATCAGTGTGTCTGCAGATCCTTAAAATTAAGATCTGTACATATTAGGCATTAAAGGTCATTAGATAGTCTTAAATTTGAATTTGGGAGGTCTTAATCGGCAAAAACATTTGATCTAATTTGATTTATCCATCTTTTAATGTTGTCAAAATTAATTAAGCTCTTCAGCGTCCACATTTCTGATATTACAAATCTTTAAACCTACCACAGAACCAAATGCTGTCTTTTTTATTTATACTTGCACTTACCTATTGGCAAAAAGTAGATTAACCTAACTTACTCTAATAACCATATTCCTACATAAACCTACCTCTGCGCAGGGCCACATATATACTACTAACCTTTATACTTACCTTTACTGCTTGAATATGGAAAATATGTGCAAAAATCAGTCTTTAATTATGTTAAAAATGATCCTGAAAAGGTCGTAAAAAGACTTAAATTTAAGTGTCTGAGACCTGTAGACACCCTGAGTATATGGAGGTCAATACTATTATTAGTTGCTACTACTAGTATTGTTACATTTGCAATGCTAGTAGTAGGTTCTTACAAAATACAGGCATAGTTTCAATACGTCATTAGCCAATCCAATTACTTGAATGAGACAACTCTTTCAACCCCCACATGACCATTTGTATATCAATTACTCACCCCAAGTTACGTTGAATTCATGTAGAATACGTCTTTCGCACGTCTCTGGTGAACAAAGAATCCAAAAACAGAGAAAATTCTTGTCTCGTCTCAAGTCTCTTTCATCCAGTTGGATGCTCAGTACTTCCGAAACAGACAGCCCTTTCTGACGGGAAAGTGAACTAAAACTGAAGCTTATCTATGCTCTCTTCAATGCCAAACTCCATTGACAAAAACAGTAATTTTACCTTGCTGAACATGTAAGCTGCTAGTTTACTGCTGCCTCAATCAGTTAGTTTGTTTGTATTATTGTGTGACATTGGTGAATCCAAACTGACCCTTTAAAACACCAAAGTCACAGAATAACACAAACAAACTAACTGACTGAGGCACCAGTAAACCAGCAGTTCACATGTTCAGCGAGGTAAATTTACTGTTTTTGTCAATGGATTCTGGCTTTAAAGGCGCTGTATGTAAGAATGTGGCCAAAACGGTTACTGCACTCAAATTCAAAATACTGCTGCGAGTCGTGTCCGCCCCCCCCTCCCCTACAGATTCGAGGTTGCTGGACAGCGGCATGCTGGAGACTGATTTGTTTGCCCATGGGCGGCTGCCGTGGCAGGGCCGTGTCACTGCGTCCGTGATCTTCGGTTTTCCAGCGGACCGTTGGAGCAAGTCCGGCTTCTCTGCTGCTAACGCTGCTGCCGGGATACAGCTGAGGAGACTGCTAATGTTATGTACCTGGACACTGCTAATGCTGCTTGCCGTGCTGCTGTAGCTCAGTCGTAACTGTAACTGATGCTGAGACTCTACTGACTGCATGACTGGTAGACGGCGGTGGGTGGCGCAACAGGCCAAAACACAAATTCAAAACATAAACATGATTTGCGGACCGTAAAATATTTTTTTAAATGCGAATATTCTGGCTGTACTATTGTTGTCTGTGAGATCAGTATGTTATATTAACATTATTCCTTAGTCTATGTGACATATTAGGATTTTATGACTATTTGCTTTAGATTTGTTACATATAGCTCCTTTAAACAGCATAGCTAAGTTTTGCTTTTAGTTTAGCTCCCCGATGCAAAATAAGACTTGGGTGATACTGCATGAGTTGTTGTGAGAATTTGATAACAGATGTTTTGACAAAGTTTTCCTGTTGTTAAACGCGCCCCCCTATGATTTCAATTCATCAAGAATTTTCTCAGTTTTTGATTCTTTGTTCACCCTGGAGGCATGTGAGAAAACCAATGTTTTCTTCAGGAATTCAACATTACATGGTATGAATAACTGTTACACAAATGGTCATTTGTGAGGTGAAGTATTCCTTTAAGCTTTGGGTTCAGGCAGAAAAACAAGCAGTCACAACAAAATAGTTAAACTAAATTTGAAAGCTTTTTGGTGGGGGATCTCTACAAACATGTTTTGGTGTGTATGAACAGACCTGCATGTTCATTAACAACCATATGCTTAGAAACAGCTGGTTATTTCTTGTGGGGGTATGTATATCTCAGAATAGACATGCAGTTGTGTGTTGTGTGTGCATATCGTGGAGTGCAGTGTGTGAGCATGGGCTGCTGCTCTGCCAATAGCAGTGCTTTGTGGCATCGTGGAATGACCAGCTGTCTGCCTGCCAGACTCCTAACTGTGTCACCCTACCCTCGTCTCAGGCCTCATGACAGCGACCCAGTTCTCACAGATGCTCAGCAATCACCTCGGCCCTCTGCCACACCTTACCCGGGTGTCCAACCCCTGACCCCTCCCCTATCCGTGCTCCTAGACCAGGAACTCCAAGAGGCTTTCCAGGAATGTGAAGAACAAATGGCCTCACTGGGGATACTTAATCCCACAGGGCCCCCCCACCAGACAGTTAACGATGCAGGAGAGAAAACTGGAGAAGTGATGGTTAATAAATCCAGTGAGTCATCATCATTGCCTCCAATTGCAGTCCAGCCAGGACATAGCAACGGGGGCCATGGAAACAAGAGTACACACGGAAACAGTGAGGCAGCAAACAGTCGGACGGATACAGTTGTGTTTAGTTTTAGGAATTACATTCTGGGCACTGAGAATAGTGCTGGGACAGCAGAGACGAAGAGTGAAATAAAAGCAACACAGAGCCTGGATAAATGTCCAGAGATTAAGACAGTGGAAGAAACAGAGATGGATGAGCAGAAGGAGACACCCACGCATGCACAATTAGAAACAACGGCAGATTTATTTAAAGAAACCCAAAAAGATGCTGCGCTCACTGTGCAGAGAGATGATTTCAGAGAGGAACATGTTGATTCTAATGCAGCCATTGAGGATAATGGCACATTAGACTGTAATACAGTGATTAGGGAGAAAGGCACAGAGGCAGTAACAGAGACTGTAGACATAAGGAAAGAAAATTATAGCGATGAGTCCAGCATTAGTGTTTGTATAACTGAACCAGGAAAGAAAGATGATTCAGTTAATGAAACATCAGAGTGCAGTCATTTGCATTTAAAGGATAAAGATGTATTATCAGAAGCACAGATGGGAGCAAACCATTACAGCGAGGAGGATCAGGAGTCAAAATCAGATAAATGGAAGAGCTCACCTTGTGAGGCTGGGCAGGACAAAAAGGCAAAGAGGAAAAAGAAACAAAGGAAAAAGAACAAGACAGAAGAGAAAAATGTAGAGACTGAGGAGAAAGCAAAGACAGTAGTACAACCTGAGAATGATTCACAGGCTGTTTCTCTTGTAAATGCAGGAAATTACACAGATTCAGCAGCAAATGTTGTGTCACAGGCAGACGCTCAGACTGTGATTTGTGGGGAACAGCCTGATAATGGGTTTGGCTCTAAGCAGCAGCTGAGTCCCGAGGGAGAGCCCAGCCCCAGCCCCCCACTATCATCCTCTCCTAGTGAGCAGGATCATCTTACTGTCTCGCCCTTTTCACCTGCGTCTAACCAGCCTCATCAGTCAGATAACCGCAACCATACAGATGCCCCATGTGGCATGAATCACAGCTCAGATGAAAGCCCACACCGGAAGCAACATGCAACCGGAGGTGCCATCGACAACCAAAATACACCCATGACACATGTCCACACTACAGTTATCAGTCCAGCTGCTTCTGCTGATAAGAGGTCCGATTCACAAACACAGGAGGCTGAAGTTACCTCAGAGGCAGTGATACTCACACACGAGAATCAGAGCCCACTCTCCAGCAGCCCAACTTGTGTGGGAGAGAGCGGCGTGGAGAGTGCCCTTGAAGAGGCTTTAGTGGTGGTTGCTGCGTTGCCACTGGCAACACCCACGATGCCAGAAGTGATAGAAAGCAAGGGAGAGGGAGAAAGCGTGAGGCGTGATTCACTGGAGAGAGTAGCTTCTGTAACGATCGCAGAGAGTGAGAAAGCAGTAGGAGAGAAAGATTTGGGAGGAATAGAAAAGTGCCTCAGCTCTGCAGACGGAGAGAAAGACCTGGACAGCCTTCCTCAGCTCGCATTAATCCGTTCACGGGGAAAATGCTCACTTGTATTCTCAGCCAAAGAGGGACAGGCTGTATCTGAGGAAAGCTGCAGCAGCAAAATGCCACACAACTCGACTGAGACTGAAATGAAGGGACCGAGAGAGACAACCGTTCGCAGTGCAGACACAGAGCTCTCACCAGCTGAGGAGGGAGACAGAGAAAAGGAGCCACTTCGGTTAGAAGCTTATATCAATACTTCTCCCTTTGGGCCACTTACTGGTCCTGATTGTCAGGATCACAGTGCTGCGGGATTGGACGGAGCAGGAGAGGGAGGAGGAGGAGGAGAGGAGGGGGGAGAGAAAGGAGGGCTGGCTAGAGAGCACAGTTCATTCAGCCAGCCAGAAGGCTCTGCTAGTGGGGTGTCATCAGCCGGGACTGAGACGTGTCCGCCCACCGATGTTGCCGAGTCACAGTTGAAGTCACAGGGCTGGAGTGAGCCGATTGCAACCATCTCTCAGAGCATCTGCACTGAACAGGACCGTCTCTCTCACCCCTGCCAAGAGCACCATGGCGCAGCAATTTCACCTCTCCCGGCTCACCCTGAACAGAGCTCCAGCAATACAGACGGAGGGGTAAGGGCTGATCTCAAACAGCATTCGATTTCAGAGGAAGCAGTGTCTTTAGGACACACTTGTGAGGGGTCATCCATCACAGAGACAGAGAAAAACTGCAGCCAAGTCTTCCTGCCTTTAATCTCACCTCAGCCTCTGACTACTTCACAACATATCCCAGTCGAGCGACAAGCGAGCAGCAATCAACAGGTCCAGCTTGAAAGTAGCACAACAGCAGCCCGGAAAGACGAAAGTGCAGCTGAGTTCCAAGTCCAAGCCAAGAGCAAAATAGGTGCTGCGGGTGTATGTGACAGCAGCAGAGGCAACAACAGAGTTCACTTTGCGGACACTGTGAAACAAGACGGCAGTTTCTCCATGGATCTTAGGAGCATGTCGGTACCAGCTATGGACTGCGCCTCTTTGCCTCCGCTGACTGTGCATGAAAGTTTGCACCATCCTGTGGTGGAGACCAGCTACACCTTCCCAGAATTCCTCGGCTTGAAGAAGCCAGAAATTGCCACAAATGCAGCTCCTACCAAGGATGAACCAGCAATACGGAGCTCAACTGACTTTCTAAAGCCACAGAGAGATGTCCTGGAGGAAAAAGGAGATGTGGGGACTAAAGAAGAGAACATTAAGATAGATCAGACAGGTAGCAACAACTTGGGGACAAACACTGTGGATTTACAGTCAATGACAAAGGCCGGCTCAAAACAGCTTCCATGTTCTGCTGAAAAGAATCAAACTGGTGACCTTTCACAAACAGCAGAAAGTGCCACCTCTGAGGCTGATCATTCAGCAGCTGAGCAGGTGTCTGTAAAGGTGACAAAACAATTAGAGCAGAAAACAGAGAAGGATGCTGTAAGCCTGTGCTTGTCGACTGAGAAGGAGATAGATAAGTTACCCGCTAAGTCTGAAGGCCCAGTCGAGCCTCAGGAGTCACCTTTAATAAGTGATGCTACTGAAGGTAACCAACCTCTTCTCTCCTCATGTTCTGTGCTTCCAACTGATGATGTCACCTGCAAGCCTTTTAGTGATGTCTCCGCTGAGTTATCTGCTGGGCAGCTCTCTATGGAAACTGCGACCCTAACTTGCGCAGCCTCTCTTCAGACAAAGCCTTATGACCCCAGTTATCAGTCTCCCACCCAATTAAATCAAACACCTCCTCATGGACTGGTTACTATAGATGCCATGCACGCTGGTGAGGGGCCAAAGCCCACGATTCACTCTGCTGATCTGACAAAGGATGAATCAGCGACTTCCGAAGTGACAGCCTCCGACCGGTCAATTCCTGTTATAGAGCAACGTGCCAGTAATTCTTCTTTTGTGCGGCAGCCTCCTGGCCCGATGTTGAGTCACTTGGAGTTCATTACTGACTGTGATATCTCTCTTCCTGAGCAGACAGATAACAGTGGCACTGATGGTGACAGCATCAAAGTCTTTGGGGAGGTGGATGACAACAAGAGCAGGGACATGACACAAATGTCCGTAGCGCAGGATCTGAAGCACGGTGATGTCAGCGTTAAAGCAGATGAGGCTTGTCCAAAACCGGAAGATAAAAATTATGAGCTTGAGAATTCTGCGATTACCAGTGTAAATATTCCATTTTTAGAGGAGGAAAATCTGTGCACCCCAACCCAGCCTCCTGGTGCAGAGGGAGTACTGGCAAAGGGTGGGTCTGATAATGTAATTTCTCTATCTCACACTGAGCCAGTTATTTGTGAAGCATCCATTAAGGATGGCCTCATTAATGTCAGCTGCCCACTCAGCTCTGACCTACCTTCAGACAAAGCTTATAGTGAAATTGAACAACAAAATATGAAACAGGAAATGGGAGATGTAACCTCTGTTCTGTTTGCAGAGGAAAAGAAAAAAGTTGAAGAGGCAACAATGGATAATCAAAAGGAAACAGCAGACAGCAGCAAGCTGCAGACAGGAAAGACAGGCACAACACCACAACAGAGTAATGGGCCAGAGAAAGAGGCTGTGGAGGAAATTGGAGGCCTGCAGCCACCACATGAACATAAAGTAAAAAAGACTGAGTCACCAATAAAGGATGTAAAGGAGGAGGGAGAAAGTGGCATTTCACCTAAAACCCAGATAGACACTTCTTCTTTATCTCCCGACAGACCTGCGGGGTCGTCTGAGGACATGCTAAGTGCTGGGGCAGATTCTCGTAGTGAACCTCAGACTGTTTATGACCAGAGTTTGCGCCAAACTCCGACACTGGAACGCAGCTCTGAGAGGGACACTTCCCCAGATTTGAATGCAGCTCTTGGCCAATCACAGTCCACACCAGAGCCAAACTGTTTTGCTCAGCAACAGGAGCAACAGCAGCAGTGTCTGGGATCCACACATCCCACACAGGAGTTGTCAGGTGACAGTCTACAGGGAGGAGAAAAGACTAACGGTCAGGTCAGGCAGACCCAGGCACTGGTTCCAGGGCTGAAAGGGGTAGCACAGGGAGGAGACGGCTCCTCTGGGAGTTTGTGTCAGTCAGGGAGCAGCGATAAGTTGACAGGTGATGACAGTGGTGGCAATGAACGAGTGATAGATCTGGAGAAAGGCAAGGGAGAGGGAGTGCAAGCTGTGGTTGACGGGGTTTATATGCTGTCTCACTTTGCCAGTGATTTAAATGAGAGTGGAAATGCTGCTGAGAGAAATGCCTCAGCTGACATTGGGAGCGTAACTGCTTGCTCGTGTGTAGGTGAGACAAGACAGGGGATGGTTGAGAATAAAAGCCCCGTGTTAGGGGTAGTTGGGTCGGATACAGATTTAATTCCAGACACTAAGTTTGTGAGCGATCTAGGTTTTGAAGGTCAGCAAAAAAGCAATCTACCAGCTGCCTGTCAAGACCAACATGGAAAACCTGAAACCTCAAAGAACACTGCTGTATCTGTTGAGTCTGCATCACAGGAACATGAGACTTCACCTTTACGGGTCTCTGTTTCATCAAAGGTCAGCACAGATAGTCCCGGCATTCATACAGCAGTCATTTCAAGTGCAAACCAGGCTGAAGAAATTCATACAAAAATATCCTCTACTCTGGTTGGGCAACCAGAAACTGTGGAAAAGGGTTTCTGTGCTGTCACGGCTGTAAAGAGCAACAGTAGTGAAACTGTGGATTGTGAAAATCAGGATACAGTGGGTGAGCCTGTCGAGCTACAAAGCTTCAATAAAAGCTCAGCAGCACAAAGCAGCCCAGTAGTACAAACAGCCATAAAAGGCCCTGATGTAGAGGAGATCACAAAGGAAGATAAAGCAGCTTTGGACGAAGTGAAAGCTAGCAGCCAGGCGACGGGACAAAGTGAGATAAAAGAGATGAATACTGAAGCAATGAAAAAACAGGCGGTCATAAATCAAACTGAGGGTGCTAAAGACAGTGCCTCAATTGGTCTGTCAAAAGCAACAGAAAAGGACAGTGATATAACAGATACAATAACTCCTGATGTTATCACACACCCATCTGTTGTTTCGTCAAAGCACCTGGAAGATTTTGCATCTACCCCTCCTGCAGCCTCTACCCAGTCTGAGAAGCCTCACGATCAGGTGTTTTTGTCAAAGCCCCAAGGTGATATTGTGTTAAAGCCCACTGTTGCTGCTTCCAACTGTGAAGGAAAACCACTTGAAAAAGCTCCTGTTGAACAAGTTCCTGTGAACACAGAAGCCGGCTATGTGTCAGAGAGTCCTGCTCCTGTGCAAACAGCCAGAGAACCAGATACAAACTGGATACAAGCTCTAAAAGAAGCTGCTTCCAGTGTTCAGAGTAAACAAGAGACCTCAAGGTAAACACAAGTGTGTGTGTGTGTGTGTTTGAAGTCATCATATGAGAAAAATGCTTTAAAGGGACAGTTCACCCCAAATTTAAAAATACATATTTTTCCTCTTACCTGTTGTGCTATTTGTCAGTCTACATCGTTATGGTGTGAGTTGCCGAATGTTGGAGATATTGTCTGTAGAGATGTCTGCCTTCTCTCGAGTATTATGAAACAAAATGGCACTCAGTTTGTGGTGCTCAGAATGCCAAAAAAATACATTTGAAAAACTCAACACCAATGTTTCTTTCCAGAAATCAACTCGTTAAAGTTAACGTTAATCCACAGACCTTGTTGGAGGATTTATGTCGGAACTATTTTCTTTATACCTAACTACACCCGCCATCTGTATCACTGCACAGAAGGAAGCGTGCATCTACTCTTGGATGAGAAGCTCATGCCCATGACAGCGCAAAGTATAAACATTAATGGCGTTGTCCTTTGCTGAGCTGTAACGTTATGTAGCTAAGCAGTGCTAGTTAGCACTAGGTGCACACTTCCCTCTGAACAGTGATACCTTTGGTGGGTGTAGTTTGGCAGAAAGAAAATGGTTCCTACAATAAACAAGTTTAAAACAAGGTCTGTGGATTATCTTGAGTAACAAGGTCATGATTTCTGGAAAGAGACATTGCTGCTGAGTTTTTCAAATTAAGTTTTTTGGCACTTTGAGTATCACAAGCTGAGTGCCATCTAGTCCCATTATATTGTAAAGAAGTCAGTTATCTCTATGGCTGATATCTCCAACACACAGCAACTCACACCAAAACAATGTAGACTGATAAATAGCACTGCAGGTAAGAGGAAAAATCTGTATTTTTGATTTTGAGGTGAACTGTCCCTTTAAGATTCAGAAATTAGAGGAGTGCACATGAGACTTCACGCCAATGAAACTATGTTAATGGCAAGTAAATGCTGTGCATCTACACATGTCTGAGAGGTCAGTGGAGGTCGTCATGGGCTCCCTCTCAATGCGTCACACAAGTAGCATGTTAGCATGCTGTCACATATCATCTGCTCAAGTACATCACAGAGACAAAGGCACGCGTGTAGTCTGATTGGGTTTGCCCCACCAGCTTAGGCTAAAGAATCATGAATTTGGTAGACGAATATGTAAACTTATTTGGATTTTTCCATGGGCTGTAAATGATGATATTCAGTCTATTTACCAGTTGCTTAGTATTCATAAATCCCAGCAGTAACACCATGTCCAGCTCTTGTTTGGAGTGATATTAAAGAGAGCAGTGTGACAATGAATATGAATGAGGAGGTAAACACAGAGCTGCACTTTGTTTTGACTCGAGCTCGGATCAGATGACTGTGCCTGGTGAAGTCTAAAGGAAGTAATGCAGCCCTTTATATTCAAAGGATGACATCAGCTGTGACATCGGCCCTGCTCTCCAGGGCAAGAATGAGCCTTTTCTCACACTGCTAAACACAATGCAACAACAACAACACAACCACACACACATGTACCGACAGTACTTCTGCACACACACACACACACACACACACACACACTCGAGCCCCCATAACCACACAAACATACACATTTGTCATTTGTCAGTCATTCCTTGTGCATGTGCTGTAAACTAAACAACAAATTCCCCAACCCCCTCTTCTCTTGCATTGTTTTTTCCAGACCCCTCCCATCTCTGGATTCCCCTCAACTAGAGTTTCTTACTCCGACTGAGGAGATAGCTGCTTCTCAAGGACAGGAGGAGATCCCACCACCGGGGCAAGCAGCAGAGAAGACAACAGAGATCCCACCTCTGAATCTTGTGAAGAAGCCAGTGGATCTTCCTGAACCTTTGAAGAAGACAACAGAGCTCCTAGAACCAGCACAGCGCACAAGAGTAGATCTCTTAGGAGACAATGAGAAAGTAGGGCTCTCAGAAGAAACAAGGAAAGTAGAGCCCTCAGAAGAAACAAAGAAAGTAGAGCTCTTAGAAGAAACAAGGAAAGTAGAGCCCTCAGAAGAAACAAAGAAAGTAGAGCTCTTAGAAGAAACAAGGAAAGTAGAGCCCTCAGAAGAAACAAAGAAAGTAGAGCTCTTAGAAGAAACAAGGAAAGTAGAGCCCTCAGAAGAAACAAAGAAAGTAGAGCTCTTAGAAGAAACAAGGAAAGTAGAGCCCTCAGAAGAAACAAAGAAAGTAGAGCTCTTAGAAGAAACAAGGAAAGTAGAGCCCTCAGAAGAAACAAAGAAAGTAGAGCTCTTAGAAGAAACAAGGAAAGTAGAGCCCTCAGAAGAAACAAAGAAAGTAGAGCTCTTAGAAGAAACAAGGAAAGTAGAGCCCTCAGAAGAAACAAAGAAAGTAGAGCTCTTAGAAGAAACAAGGAAAGTAGAGCCCTCAGAAGAAACAAAGAAAGTAGAGCTCTTAGAAGAAACAAGGAAAGTAGAGCCCTCAGAAGAAACAAAGAAAGTAGAGCTCTTAGAAGAAACAAGGAAAGTAGAGCCCTCAGAAGAAACAAAGAAAGTAGAGCTCTTAGAAGAAACAAGGAAAGTAGAGCCCTCAGAAGAAACAAAGAAAGTAGAGCTCTTAGAAGAAACAAGGAAAGTAGAGCCCTCAGAAGAAACAAAGAAAGTAGAGCCCTCAGAAGAAACAAAGAAAGTAGAGCCCCCAGAACCAACCAAGACAGAAGAAGAGCCTCCAACAGAGCTCCCAGAGCCAGCACAGAGCACAAAAGTAGATCTCCCAGAAGAAACGAAGAAAGTAGAGCCCTCAGGACCAACCAAGAAAGAAGAACTTCCAGAAGAGCTCACAGAACCAAAAAGGGAGCCAGTTACTTCTTCAGAAGCAGCGAAGGAGCCAGCTGAGCTCCCAGAACCAACAAAAAGCACAGAAGAGCTCCAAGAACCAACAGAGAATGAGGAACCAGAACCAACAAAGACGACTTCAGATCCCCCAGCTGCAGAGAAGAAGCTGACCAGTGAGCCGCCAGAGGTGCTAGTGGACAAACCTGTAGAGATCTCACCTGAGGAGCCATTTAAAGTACCAGCTGGGGAAACGGCAGTGACAGAAACAGTCCAGCACCCTGCTGAGGAGCTACAGGACAGCGGGTGAGTGTCTTTATAAAATCAGATTAATTCATAATCAGTCACAATGCATTGAATACATGAATTTTGTTTGTTATGACCATGATCTGTGTGTTGAAATAATGACAACAGCAAACAAGAACAACTTCCTCTCATTGTCCAACCGTGCAGTTTCCAGTGAAAGCCAACATTACCAGCACTGTTTCCCTGCCAGACTGCTGCTAAGGGACTGTTCCCTTCAGAGCTCAGACTTCAGAGTCTGGATAAAAAAAAAAGAGCCATGTCCTTGTAATCCTCAATTGACTAGAATCTAAGGATTATAGCCTTTTACTATTAAGAACAACAGGTTTGCTGGAGACTGGTAATTTGTGGTTGACTGGTTTTCCAACAGGAAACCAGACATCAGAATGATTTGTATCTGACCTTTTAGAACTGATCGTTTTCCTGAAACTTATCATAACATTTCCATTGCAGTGATGTATTCGAGACATTTTATTGCAGCTAACGTATTTGTGAAAAAGGGGGGAATGTCAGACGGACATGGTCTTTACAGCTCAGCAGCTCTGTCTGTCACACTTTTAAAATGGATTTCCATGTGCACAGAGAGTCCCCTCGGTGGCTTTGTTTGGCTTTCAGACACCTCGAGGGCGTCTGGTAGGTTGCTGCTGTCTGCAACAGTGTCCGATTGGATGAATGAGACTGAGTCTAACAGTTTTGTAAGCGTTTGTGAAACGGCAGTGAACCCCTTTATGTTGTTAAAGCTCCTGACTATGTTAAATACACATTGTAAACCAGTGTGTCGTTCATTTCGACCTCCATGTGGGCGTTTGGTATTTATTTAAGCATTTTAATAGCTCTCACCAGACTAACTTTCCATATATGTCATTCTTTTACTTGATGTCATTGTTTTGTTCATTGTGCATATAAAGATGTGTTGTGTCAAAGTTTATTCTTCTAGTTTATTTGCTGTGTGAGGAACGTCTTTTGGAATATTCTAATTAAGTTAACTTCTTTCCTCAGCTTCCTTAGCTATCTCTCTTAGTTGTCACTCTCTCCTGCCGCTTAGCTCTATGCCCAGGAGCCATCCCACATGCCAGAGTAGCACTTGCTGCCTGTCACTCACAACACTTGTCCCATCACTGCTGTTGGAGACATAAAGGTTTGTTCAGTGTAGAAGGGAGGAGTGACAGTGCTATTTCCACTATAGGTCTCATCAATAGATAGAGTTACACTGGTGTACGTGTGTCAGAGACAGAAATGTGACTGCATGGTCAGTGATGTGTGTGTGTGTGTGTGTGTGTGTGTACATATGTTTCTTACCCCGCCCCCAGAGGCTGGCCTAGCTGTCAGTCCTGCTCAGTCTGTGCGGCTTTGTGAACTGAAGCCTGTAGTGGGAGGAATTTGGGCAGGCACTCAGCCCCACTGAAGTCATTTGCACAGACCAGACAGAGTGGAACAAAAGCCAGAGTTAAGAGAAACACTTGAGCATGTGCTGCGGCGTGAGTGTGTATGACAGAGTCAGAGTCACACAGAGGAGAGGAGGACTGGGACATACAAACTGCTGTTTGGGAGTTCAGCAGCAGAAGTCATTGCCATCACTTACGTGTTTAGATCTGTGTGATGGATTCTTCCGTGGCTGAATTCTGGGTGAGTTGACAAGAAGTAGGCGCCCTGTTTTTTTTTTCCTGTCTGTGTGTGTCTACAGTAGGCGGTTGTTTTTAAATCCCTCCAGGTGGATGCAACAGATGGTGTGTAGGTAACTAGGGCTAATTACGCTCTGTCTCTGCTGACCTCACCAGATGGGAGGAGGGAAGGGACAGATAGAAAGACGAAGGGACAGAAAGCGGAGAAGAAGTTACAAAGTTGCGAAATGAACGGTGTACTTCAGAAAAATGCTACAGGTCACAGCATGTTGTACTCCTTTCCTTACTTGATGTGGAGGCTGCCTGATCGATGGCTGGCAAGACATCTCAGTAGTTGTAAAACTGATGTTTAACTACTGTCTGTGAGTGGTCCAAAAATCTTGCTGGCTTGGTAGACTTCTAAAATGAGGATCTGATAACTATTTTTAGGCCTAACATGAAACACAAGGGACAACTGAGTGTATTTCCTGTATGACATATGGCACAAAAGTGCAACGTGTTACACAGCTACTTTTACTCAAATTGAATGAAGTCTTTTGTAAAGCAACAGTTACTCAGGAAACACTATGGAAATGACTGGAACTCTTTAGCTTGGTATGTAGGATATTTCTCATCCATGTTTTCGGAGTAAGAAGGAAGTAGGATGTGCTATAGCCCACATTGTACTGTAAATAGACCAGTTGCCATGGCGATTGTAGGTTCATGTGTCTTTGCTGGCACAAGTGGAGTAGATAATCTCATGTCTGTCATTCATTCAACCACACTGGACTGCCTTCAAGTAATAATTTAATCTCCATAGTGACAGAGGAGAATTGGCGGATTATTTATGAAGTATGTGTTTGCAATATATACAATGTGTTCTTGAATGTGCAGTGTGTGTGTGCTGGTGTGTGTGTGTGGTAGCTGTTGGCTACAGGACAGAAATGGTCCTCCCATGATTACAGCGTTAAAAAACATTTTAAAAAAGTCAGTATCCTCAGCTGGTTTTGTTTACAACTCTCTGTTTATCATTTAACACCCTGCCTGGACTTGCTGTCTTCTGCGTCCAGCTGTTTCGCGTAGATTACACTAAATGAGTGTGTGCGTGTGTGTGTGTGTGTGTGTGTGTGGCTAGAGTACTGTACATGCACAGGCAAAGTCACTTTTGTTTACTTAATGCTCAGTCATGAAAGTGGAGGTTAGAGAATTAGCTCTGTTATCTGGACTGTGATAGACTACTATGTATACCTGGACTTGCCTTGTAAAATCTGGATTTGCCTTCTTAAATAAAAACTCCTTATGAGGTGCCCTTGAGTAACGCCCTGCACGCTGCTGAATTACCAACAATAAAAAACTGTATTGGACAGCCTCCAGCTGTTAATGCCAACAGTAAAACTACACTGACGTGAAAAAGCGTGTGGCTGAAAAAAAGCCCATGTGCTCTCTCTAACTTGTTGGGTTCAGTCTGCTAGTAAATCCTCTGCTACATCATACACATCACATCTGGAAGAAGAAGTTGGAAAGCTGTTAACCTGAGTGGGTCAGCTGCTATTATCTGGACATAAAAACCACTGAACCAGTAAATACTCTTGTGTCCTGGGTAATCTTATTTTCTCTCTGCTCCATAGCTGTTTTTGTCCGTCTTTGGAAGCAGCGGCGCGTCTTTGGACAGTCTGCTCGGACTGCGCTGTGACTTGGTTGTTTCTATTTCCAGGCTGCATGTGCCAAGTTGGCCGCAGATGCTGACATATGTATAGCTTTGGCCTGCTGGCGTTAGTCACTGACTGAGGATTTGTAACGAGTGGAATGGGACCAAATAAAAATCATATATGGATTTGCAGGACTTTTCCTCTTCACGCAGCCGCCCTGCATCTGTTAGAAAATTCTGTACTTTCTGTAATGGAATGATAACAACCAGACCAGTCAGATGTAAACTGTAACTTGCTACACCCTAAAGAAAAGCACACGCCCTCATTAAATGCTATTAAGTTCTGACTTTACTGGAGAGAATAACAGAGCTCAGTTTCAGTCCGAAGTGAGCTGGAAGGGGCATTTGGAAAGTGCAGGTCAGCAGACAGTTGACTTGATGCTTTGGTGTGAATGTGTTACAGCTGATGGAGGTATTGTGAAGCTTTCTGCAGAAGAGGCTACTGGGGTATTTTTAGAGCTAAACAGGAGGCATGCCCCAAGTGTGAAACAGCTGCATGGGCGTCGATTGCGTTGCCTGTCAGATTAGAGAGCCTACCACTCCTGATAAGACGAGCCTGGATCTGGGCCAAATCCACTCCACCAGGTGGCCCATGATGACAGAGCCAGACGTCCTCAAGCAGGCTACTTCACAGCAGAGGGCAAGTAGAGCAAGCAAGGGAAACATGGACTATCATGTAAAGGGACTAATGAGAAGAGTTAATAACAAAGTGTTCTTAGGATGGTTGGAGTGAGCTTTTTATTTTTTAAGTCACTGCTAGGTTTAGGTGATGACACAGAGCAGAGTGCTCCATCTTTCTCTGCTTTGAGGTAAGTCACGGTTCATTTGTGCAAAGGAAAGCGTGGCCTCAGAGGGCTTTCTGAAACCGCCGTACTTGGCCTTCTTGTTGCGGTCCGTCTGTTAATGTTTTGTGTTCCCTCCCCTGCAGGCCCTCCCTCGCTGAGCGGGCAGAGAGAGGTGACCGTGCCCCTGCATCTCCCCCACCTCCTGCCTCCGAATACCATTTCCTGCCTGCCCTCCCTCCTCACCTCCAAGACACCACAGAGTTTCTCACTCCTCCTCCCACACCCCCGGAGAGACCCTCTCCTGACGCTCTACCAACCCCACCTGCATCTCCCAGCTTCCCTCCTCCTCCTTCTCCTCCTCATCCAGCCCCTGATTCCCCTCCTGCACCTCCTGCTTCCCAGAGCGAGGACCACTGCCCTGCTCCTGCACCCCGCCACCCCCCATTAAGGTAGGAACATGAACTCTGCCTGACTGTCACTGCTCCTGAAACGCTTCATTAAGTCATTTCCTGTTTCACTTTATAAAAAAAAAAAAGTGATTTGAATGTGTGTCAGTTTTCTGTCGTGCCTCTGCTCTGCTTCATTTGTAAGACCTCGCAGATTTGTGCATGCTGACACTAGTCCGTTTAGCCTGCTTGACGAAAAGTAGCTGTGTCCTTATCCTTTCAACCCCAGTTCAGGTCAATTTACAGCATTAAACTAACGTCTGGCACACTGAATTATCCTGTGGATGTTGATTCGCAGAGCTCCTAAATAGTGTGAGCTACTGGAAGTGTAGTCATCAGTTTCCTTATTCTGACCTAAAGGACAAGTTTAACATATTCTCCTTCCTGCAGAGTAAGGTGAGAAGACTGATAACTAGTCTCACATCTACATGGTGAATAGTTGGGGCAGGCATGTGGTTAGCTTAGCCGAGCATAAAGACTGGTAACGGGAAAAAAGCTTGCCTGGCTCTGTCCAAACAAGATATGATGGACTATCTCATCCCACCAGTTTCTGGCTCATGCTTCACATTTATCACACAGACATGACGGTGGTATCAATCTTCTCATCTAACTCTTGGCAAGACAGTAAATCAGCATATTTGAGAGGCCTTTCCATATACAGATACATCACATATAGCATTATTGCAATTTCCAGAGTCTGCTATTTCAGCAACTTGTCATACCACCTCATAAAATTACAGATTAGCGTTGCTATGCACGTCGGCCACATGAACTCATAGGAAACAGGATTTGCTAATGTATGAACTTAGTGGTCATGGAAACTCATATGTACACTGTATAATTGTGGCTTGTTAATGGTGGATATAGCAAAAGCATCACTGTGAAATGTTTATATTTGGATCCTTTAAACACTACAGGATAAAGCGGAGCACCAGGCTTCTTCACAATACGCATACCCGGCCCCATCATCAACACCTGACACATCCCGGCTGCCTTTTTGTCATTTAGGCTGCTTGTGTAGCACCAACGTCATGGCGCAGAACACAATGATTTTCATTCATAACACTGATGCTGATTGTGTTTAAATGGTCCTCGTTATTTTGCTTTCAGCGCAGTTCCCCCGCTGATAATACTTGACATTCCTCTGCAATCATGCTTTGCAATTTATTCCAGGGGCTGACTTTTCTAAGGGGGAATGACTCAGCCACTTTCACAGTGCACTGTCCTTTACAACCAGCAGAGGGTGTTTTCCATTCTCAGAGTCCAGTGTTCATGATGTACTGCCAGCCTACGTCTGCACTCTGCTGTCTGAATGCTGCAGGTATATGAGGAATAACACAGGGAGACACAGTAGCTCTTATGTATTGGAAAAGACTGTGGATTGTTTTCTTTGTATAATTTTACATGTTTGCTCATGACTTCAGCCTGTTTGACTTTCTAAATGCTCTCCTTGTTCAGAGAAGACCAGGATTTTGAGAGGGTGAGGCTGCCATAGTGTTGTTATATTATTTATGATATCTGAGAGGACTGTTAGGTAGCAGAGGAGAGGAGAAGAGTACCACCATAGTATCATGGACTTAATATTCTGAGTGGAAGTCACAGATTGTCCTGTTCGCCTGCAGATGCATAGAGGTGCAACTATGCCAACATATGTGCAGCTAGAAGCCACTTTTAATCTAGTTTTTTTTACTTTGAGTCATATTCAAGGCAAAGAACATTAAAATTAACAATCTTTACTGGTAATAAAGTGATGATGTATCAACCCCTGCAGGGGCAAAGCAACACCTGTGGAGCTGCTAGACATTTATTATCTTGCTAAAAGGCTTTTCAGCTGGGAAACTTGCCCTTGAACCTGCCTCCTCCTACTGAAAACTGGCTTCCCTCAGCATGCGATCATCAAAATGTTAGTCATCCTAAAAGAAACATGTGCTTTTTTCCTGAATGATTCATTGAGAGTTGCATGAGTAATAATTCAATCCTTCTGTGAAAGAAAAATAACAAGTCAGGCTGCCTTTTTTGAATTAATAATTATTGAAAAATAATTAATCTGTCAGTGGCGCCCACACATTTTGCACTCATAATATCTGTCGTGAAGACAGTAGCTGACGGCTGAAAAGGTTCTCTTGTTTTTACAGATTCCCCTGAAAACCCCCCAAAACCAATCATCTCCCATCTGTTTAGTTTGTGATCATTCAAACAGCCTCTCTTTCTTCTATTTGAGACTGTAGAGAAAACCATTATGTCACACGCCCACATGTCTGCAATTGAGATAATGTGTTGATGGGTATCAAAGCCTTTTGTTCTGAGGTTTCCCATTGTAGTGCCCTGATTACCCCATTGATTGCTTTCATCATACTTTGATGATACAAAGAGAAGGAATGCCTCAGAATCTCAAAACATGTTATAAGAAGATGTACAGTGAACGCAGACAGATGAAGCCCAAGAGTGGATGTTTTGTAGACACAGCCTCAGGAAATTGATCCCACAAGTGATTGTTTATGGGAGCAATGTAGTCTTTTCTTGGCATATGAGAAAGGAAGCCTCAGGCGCTCGCTCTGCCTGATCAGCTGGAGGATCAGAGGGGCAGATTAGGGGTTTGCCACAGACACCTAAAACCAGGATTCACCAAAACACATCTTTGAACTGTGTGTCACCTGCAGAGCTGCTGTATTCTGTTTGTGATGTATTTGAGCCTTTGTTTGCACATCAACAGAGATACAGCCTGTAATTCTGGAGTTAGTGGCCCACTTTGTCATCAGTGATGTATGACTTGAACTAAGTCAACGAAAAAATACATGTACTGCAAAGTCAGAAATAGAACCACGCTTTTAGTTTAGCTTCAGCACTTTTCAAGATCTATTGTTTGTTATTCGTTGTTGTGCTCATCAGAACCTCCCTATCTTTTTCATGAATCATTCAGTTTTGGGTCTGATCTGCTGCACTAGCACAATGTTTCATGAAATTGCTATTGTGTTCTCACCCACCAAGTCCACACCTATAATTTCCTGTGGAAAGAGGGTCCCGTCTTTTGTGGTCCTTACTTAGATTTGTTGAATTTATTTCTTGCTTAGGGTTGATGTACTATTCTTGTGTCTTTGACTTTAGCATTGTCAAATTAAAGGGCATATTATTTATTTTCTTTGTTTAATTAGAGCCTTTAGCAAACCAAGAGACCGTAATGTGATTAAGGTTCATGCTTAGCTTGAACTGGCTTGAAATTTCAACACTTCTCAAGTTTCTTAAGTCACACTTATCATGTGTTATTCTGACTTAACTGTATGTTTTGGATTTTTAACACAACTAAAACCTATTTCAGAGGTACATAGGTTATATTTTTTTCCACTTCAGCGTTCTTAACTAAAGACGGTTTAAAGACGGACCACAAATTCTTCTGCACCATCACAGTCTGACACTGAATAGCAGGCTACACATATGTGGGTCGTAGTGACCCTGATTCCTCTTGAGCGCCATAATGAATCTTTCAGAAAAAACTGCCACAGCCATATCTTCCAGTGCCTGAGTTTGTTGAATTTTTTATTTCTTCATTTTCTTCAGTCTGCAGTGGAAACAGCGGTGCAAGGCCGGGCTTTCACAGTAGCAACACAGAGAGGATGTCAGTATCAGTGATTCAATAGAACAGGAACTTGTACTTCACACATACATCCTTTGCTGCCCTAGATACATCTTTGAACTGGTATGGGGGCTGGGATGGCAGTGGCAATCAATATTTTTGCTTCAGCAGGGGTCTGTGTTGGGAGTTGTGAGTGGGAGGCATTTTTACTTGCCCCCTCGGGCTGTGAAACATCGACCGACAGACCCATCCGAGGCTAAAATCACATTGACTTTCTTTGTGAACATCAGTTAATGGACTTCATGTTTACATGCAAGCACTCCCCCTTATCAAGTGTGGCGTTAGGTCGGACATAAACACCAGGTTTAGTGCCATTTGGAACTGGAAATTCTGTGTTTTTAGTCTACGTAGGCAAAGGTGCGACACCTGAAACCTGCGTACAAGCAAGTTACAAGTGCTTCAGGCTTGAGTTGCTATAGTAGCGAGCCCTTGTTTCCTCACTTTCCCATGAGTGCACAATAGATTTATTCTTCTCATATTTCCAACGCCTCTCTTTCCCATTGTTCCTTGACAATGAATGGGAAAAGTGCAGAACCTGTTCCCTCTCTTATTTCCATCCCGCAGGACACATTTCTCTGCGTCTGCCACACACACACACAGATGTCTTAAAGGAAAGACAGATTGTAACGACAGACTAGGACGGAATATCATCATTGCTCTTCCGGTCTCTGATGCGATTCAAGGTTTGATGAGAGTGCCAGTAAATTAGATCACCGGCCCATCCTGCTATCCAGGGATTTTACTGCAGAGACTGTATTCATTCATTTCATTTAGCATATGTCCCTACCTCTTCAACAAAGACTGACACCTCTGCATTAAGCTCCTGTAACCAAGATCTTTAACATTTTGAGTCTGATAGTGGGTTGCTGATGTTACTTCTCTTATAACATAATATAACATTTTAAAAGTTGGATTTTTGTCTGTCTTTTTGGTCTCTTTTTGTGCTGGTACAGAGCTGTTGTTGGAGTGTCTTGAATGAAAGGGAATATAATAGGGTCAGAGCTGAATAGTACACACACATTCTAGTTTCTCAGAGTCTATTGTTTACCTCAGGCATCACTCTGGTTGGCCACGCTGAGTGCTGGAAGCTTCCATTGTGTGAAAAGGAGGCACGAAAATGACGTTTTTCATTTTGCAAGTCACTGGGTGAGAGAGAGGGGGATCGTGGCAGGGGAAAGGCAGAGTCGAGAGGTACGGGGTTGCTGTGGGAGGGAAGACGAAGGGGTAACCATAGAGTGAAAGAGAAATTGCCTGTTAATCAGTGGGGTTTTGGAGGGTCTTCTATTGTTAGGCTCCCCTGCATAGTCGCCGTAGCGAAGGAAAAAAAGCTGCTTGTCTTTTTAAAGGCACAGGAGGCTGGAGTCAGGGGAAT